CAAAATAAAAAACAAAATCGAAATAAAACCATCGTAATAAATGGCTCCCATTCTCTTTAACCCCACCCGCACAATCATCGACTAGGCAAAATCCATTGTATCTGTTTTGTACAAATTTGCAATGTCGAGCTTAGGAGTAAAAAAAATATACTGAAAATTTTAGTATATTGTTTATTTTTTCTATGCCATAATTTTTTAGGTACATTTTGTATATCGCATTATATTATTACTGTTGGGTGCAAACTCAAGTCTCACATCGAAAGTTGTGAAAAAAATTTCACACGCAAATCTGTGCAGGCTTAGCTCAAAATTGACCCAGTCCCAACTGTTATGAAATGTTACATATATTGGGATTAGAGTATAAACCAATACATGAAATATAATTAACACTACAAAAAAATAATATATTTGTAACCGAATTCCGTCCCTAAAGTTCACGTAGCTAACGTAATTCCATTACTAATTATGTCTCTAATGTCATTAGTAACGGAAAAAGTAAATTTAGAGACAAAAAAGTTTTGTTACAAAAATTATTTTTTCTTGTAGTGTAAATAAGAATAAAGAGAAGTAATAATACATATTTATAGTGTTATTCTTAATTTTGATATTTTTGTTATTTTGGCATATTGATAATTTCTCGATATACAGTTAACTTTTGGTACAATGTACATTTTTATTTTTTTAATTTTTTTGACGTGGGAATTCGCTTTGGTATGATATTCTTTTTACACCGGTATTTTGTGTATTGTATACGGTATGACATCAAAATTATCGCCTCACCTCTAGTAAAGCTCAAGCCCGAGTACATGCCATGGATAGTGTTGTCGTCTTTCTTTCCGATGAAAGCCTTCAATCACCATGAACACAAAGAATAGCTGCAATCAGCAGATTTCTGCAACCTTTCGATTCTATCTTCAGTGCTCCCTTGAATTGATTCTTTCAATTTTGACGGACTGACGGTCATATGAGTATGATCGGTTTGCGACATCCCACTTAGCTTCCTTGCGTACTCTTTTGGGGTCTCTCCCTCTATTCACATTATGTCAAAATTACTTTTCATTGTCTCCAGATGTATCGTTTTGACATGATCTTACAAATTTTCTCAATATACGTCGAATATGTATAAAATTACTTATAAAATCTATTTCTCAGTACAAGTACATTCAATCCAATCAGAAGTATGTAACTTAGTGAAATAGAGAAATAAATATCATCGTTGGAGGTATATATGGCTTTCACTTAGGGATCTTTTGACACCATGTAGAGCTGTTAACAAGCCGAATCGAGCCAAATTTTAAGTGTTTGTGTTCGTTCGTTAACGTTCGCGAACAAGGCTCGCGTTCGTTCGTTAAGCTTTCGAGCTCGTTCGTAATGTTCAAGCTCGGCTCGTTAAGGATTTTTATTGTTTAAGTTCGTGTTCGGCTAGTTTAGGCTCGATTAAGCTCGTTCGAGCTTGTTTGTCTCACTTTTTTTAATTTATATAGTATAAATTAAAAAAAATTAAAATTATTTTATTTATTTATTTTAAATTGATATTTTATTTATTTATAAATTATAATTCGATATGTACATATAATATTTATAGTAAATATATTAGTTTAACGAAAGTTCGCGAACAAAGTTCAGGGTCCTTCGTTAACCAAACGAGTTTGTTTATATTGTTCGGCTCGGCTTGTCAATGTTCGCAAACGAACTTTAACCGAGCTGAGTTTACGAATGGATCGGTTCATTTAACAGTTGTAACACCAGGTATGATTGTAGCTAGCTTAGACGGCTATAGGTTGAATATATCATTACAATTTCGTCGAATATTGATTTTACGACACCCAACAAATCTAGTTTGAGGCAATCCCAGACCTCCTTGGCAGTCATTCTTTTTATGACTTGTAGCAATAGATCTTCCGGGAGCAATTGGAGAATGAGCTCCCTCGATCCGTTATCCTTTCTCACCTCAACAATCATGCATTCCATTGGTTCGATAGCAATTAAAAATTGATTGAAAGAATGACTCCCGACACATGTATTCATAGAGTTTTGAATTAGTGGATAAACTAATACTAATGCAAAAGAGCCCCGGTTGTTTATTCTATTAGTCGACGGAAGAGCAAGATTGCCGGACGGCTATTTTGGCAATGTGGTTCATCGCAATATGATTGAGGTTACCGAGCATGAACTTCTACGAAACGGGCTCAAATTTCTTGACGCGAAGATCAACGAACTTGTTTAACTTGTTGGTCGACAAACAAGAGAAGCCGTAATCAAGTCCGTGGAAGATTGGGTCAAGAAACCGGTGATCCCAAGTAAGGGGACTGTGAAATTTCTCGTCACCGGTTCACCGTCCTTCCTTTATATTCAAAGCTGTGATTTTGGATTAAGGATGTCAACGGGGGCGAGTTCGGGACGGGTTTTGCAAGCTCCGCGGCTCGCTCTGCTAGAAAATATTATGACCTAAAACATGCAACGGTTTTTAAAATATTGGGGGGTACCATGCAATTTTTAAAGTAGAGGGGGAATTTACGCTGAGTTTCGAAACCACAAGGCAGTTATGGGCAATTTTGCCTTTTTATTCGGTTTTAAGAGTTTATTTTTACTATTTTTGAGGCTAAATATAAGAAATATATATATTTGTAATTTTAGAGGTTTAGAAATTAAAATTCTAAACACAGTTTGGACGCATTTAGGTCAAATACTGTTAATAAGGACCGTCGAGAGGTTAGACGCTGAGTTTATGAAACCATAAAGGAGTTTGACGCAATTTTAAAAGTACAGGGGATTTGGCGCAATTTCGTAAAACCACGGGTGAATTTTGTGCAATTTAGCCTAATAATAATATGCAAAGATTATCATGCAAAATGTAAATGAGACCATGAGAGGTGGACAGAGGTAATAATAATTATTAAAATATCCGGATTCAGATCCGGGTCCGGGAAGGGGCGGGTTTTTAGTAAAACCCGTAATCCACCCCAAACCCGTCCGGGTCTAAAACTCAAAATCCACAATCCGCCCTGAACCAAATCTTTTAGACTTGAACCCACCCCATTAAAATCGAGTCTGGGGCTAATCCGCCCCATTTGACATCTCTATTTCGGATGGAGAAAATGGTCGCTTCAATGACCGGCGGAAGGCAAAAGTTTGATGGGAAGGTGACGATTTTTCTGGCGGACAAAAATGGCAGCGTCAACGTGAAAGTTTGCTTGTCGCCGGAGACTATGATGGCCATGGAAAACGATGTTGAGTTCATGGAAGCGATAACTATTTAATTATTTTGTTGTTATCGAAATAACGTGTGTTACGTGTTGAATTAAGATGTTAGAATAGCGACATTCAGGTGTCGATCGTACTATGTTGTGTTAGATTTATAGCTAATCAATAGTTTGTTGTGTAGCCATAAGTCGTTGTATTAAAGCATTTGTTGTTATTATTTTTACGAAGATATTTTTTTATCGCTTTCATTCGCGTTATATTAATATCAGTATTAAAATTACTTCTTTATAACATTTGTACTAATTAATATTTTTAATTCATTATTTTTACTATTTTATTTTAATATAATTATTGTCATATTAATAATTATTTATATTTTTAAAATAATATTAATTGTTTGTCTATTTTTTATTAATTTTATTCATATACATTTACGTATATTTTTACATTTTACTTTGATTTATATATTTGGATTGGACTATTTTTTAGGTAATGAGAAATTTATACAAGATATCAAATATATATTTTCTATTATATATATATATATATATATATATAGTGATGATGGCCACCGTAGTGTACCACATTTATACCAAGAAAAATCAAATTTCAGACTACGAAAATAAATGAGAAATTGATAACTCTTTCATTCCACAGTTTGTAATATAATGAAGAATCGTAACTTAATTTTTATAAATAGTGAAATGGAGGGTTATCAAATTTTCTTTTATTTATTATATTCAAAAAATAATATTTAAGACATTTCTTTTATTTTTTTTTAATAACACTTACATAATTAAATGTGTAATTACAAACATCAATTGAATAAAAAAATATATTTTGTTCGTATTTTAATATAACCCACGAAAAAATTATACAATAAATAAAATACATGATATTTATACACACAGGCGGATCTATGAAGACAAAGTGGGTTCACCGGACCCCGCTTGAATATTATGTATATCTATTAATTATTTAATTTATTTGTAATTCAAATATTTAAATAGCAGATTATATTTACAAATTTATTTTTTAAAATTATTTCAAGGATTGTGATTTAAAAATAATAAAAATAATTAATTATATAATTTATTAATATTCTTCTTATTCAAGTTCTAATCTCTTTTCATTTTTATTTTACTCTAAAGTGTTATAAATAATAATGTAATTAAATATTTTGAACTTATGAAAATGCCCTAGGAAGAATTATAATTTATCTCCTGTATATTACTCCCTCCATCCTAGCCACTCTTTCTATTTCTGTCGGTCTCAAGTCATTTGTTTTTTTTATTTGAAAATATAATTATACATTTTAATAATATTTTAAATTTTTTAATTTATAAATTTTTTTATTTTAATTAAACTATTTAGTTATCTTAATCTATAATTATTTTTATTAAATTATAATTATTTTTACTAATACACTTCTTAATTATTTATTAATTATACAATTCCTAAAACTCCGCAGTTAAACAAAATAGAACAATTTAAGTGAGACGGAAATAGTACAATGATAATTTATACTCACTCCGTCTCATAATTATGTATCCATTTGCTTTTTAGGTAGAGTTTTAGAAATATTAGTATTACAGTGGGATGTAGTAGGAATAAAGTAGAAATTACTAAAATAACCTTATTAGTATTGTTTGATATAAAGGTAATAGCATTTGTGTAATATATTGTAAGTTGTAAGGGTATTTATAATATTAGGTAGATAGTACAATTACTAAAAAAATGAATACTTTATTACGACGGACTAAAATGAAAAAAATGAATACTTTATTACGACGGACTAAAATGAAAAAAATGAATAATTTGTTATGAAATGGAATGGAGTACAATTTAATCCTAAATAAATAAATAAAATAGGAGTTATCCTATGTACATGAAGATGTTATTGCATAGCAATGGCAACATCACAACCTTATTATTTTCCATAGCCAATTTTATTCCCAAACTTATCTTATCTCCTAACATCGATCTCCAACCACATTCATTCTTTTAGACAACACTAAAGACTACTAAGAGCTTCCAAGAACTCTTCATCCTCTTCCATGGCCTTCATAGTCTCCGTGCCCAAGCAAACTTCAACGTCGATTCCGCCGGGAGGTCCGGCCGCCGGATAAAACGTCATTTTTCCGTCGTATTTTTGCCCTTTCCCGCTCCTCACGGTGATCGGCTTCCCCCATCCAAAATCGCAACCATAGACGTCGAACCGGGGCGAGCTGCTAATGACGAAGTTCGTACACCCCTTGGTGAACAAAACCGGGTTCTTAACCCAATTTTCCGCATACTTAATGGCTTCTTTCGTCGTTTGCTTCGAAACTAACTCGTTAATCTTCATCCCCGCAAACCCTAAATCATTCTTGATGATCTCGGCGACATTCACCGCCGCTTGATCGACATACGCCGCGTTTCCAAAATAGCCCTCCGGCAAAGGGATCCGATCCCTTGCGCCGACTAGGAGAAATAAAACGGAGTCTTGATCGGTCGTTTGGTTTTCAACGCTATTCTTGATATGTCGAGCGCGCAAAACACTTCGCCATAGGTGAGCTAGGAGTGCTTGTAGAGAAGAGATTTTATCCGTCCCGGCTTGCAAATTCGCGATGGATTTGAGTTTTTGTACGCGTTCTTTGCTAAAGTGAAAAAATCTCTCGAGCAATGGAACCTCGTCGACATTTTTTGTGTCATCTTGGTCGAGTAATGGGACCGGGATTAGGGGATTTTCCTCGGCGACATTGCTAGGAAACCATCGCTTGAAATTAGGATTCTTCGATATGTTAGGTAGGCCTCGAGAGATCTCCGACCATGAGTTCATGAAATGCCAAAACGAAGAGCCGTCGACGATTGTGTGGTTCACCGTGCAACCGATGAAGAGGCCGTCGATGAACTCGGTGACTTGCACGGCGAGCAACGGCTTCGACACACCTTCGTAGTTGAGAAGTTCGTTGTAGGGGAATAAGGAAGCGACTATTTCGGGTATGTATCTGTCGAAATCGAATACGAGTTAAAAGAATAACAAGTGAAAAATGAATAATACTCCGTAGTAGCAGATGACCCATTTATTCCGGACATAGTTATTTAGATAGTGAAGATTAATACGGTATTAAGTTAAGATATTACTTTTTTTTTTATATATGAGTAATGTGCTCGTATTTTTAAAATATGAATTAAAATTTGAGTTTGAAAAAAATATATAGAATATATGTTCAAATAATTTTAGCATTATATTTAAATAAATATATATACAATAAAATCTATATATTATGATTTAACATAAACTAATTTTTCTAAAAAAAAAAGTCTTAAATAGAAATAAAAATATTTGTTCAATAACAAGAAAAGATGAAAATAAAAGAGGGCTTAAGATATTAGAAATTTAATAAATTAATTTATATTTATTGAATTTTAAAATAAATAAATTTATTAATAATAAAAATTGTATATGTCCTAGGACGGACTATTACTCTAAAAAGGTTTAAGACTCTCACTACCTTCATATTTTTTTGAAGTTTTTTATTATTTGTCAATAGTAATTTAAAAATATATATCATGTCAATATTTATTATTTTTTTAAATACTACATTAACTATTTATTTTATATACAAAACATCACATATAGTAATAATTATTTAAATCAAATCACAAATTTACTTTTTATTCTAACATTTTACTATTTTCATAACTATAAAAAATTCAAACTTTTCAAACCTCTTATATACCGCAAATTTTAAAATTCGACACAAAAGAACAGTAATTTTTTAAAATAAAAGATACTCCCTCTGTTCCACTTACCATGTCCATATTGCCATTTCTGTTCGTCCCACGTCTCATGTTACTTTCTTTTTTCGAAAAATGATTACTCATCTTAATTTTATTTTAAATTTTGTAATTTAAAATTTTTTTAATTTTAATTAAACTAATTAGTTATCTTAATCTTAATCTATAATGATTTATATTATAAGTTAATTATTTTCACTAATATATTTTTAATTATCTACTAATTATACTTATCCTAAATTTTCGTGTCCACAGTGACCAAGACACCCAATATGGGACGGAGGTAGTAATATATTAGAATGATGCAAAAGTTCTTTTCGAGAGTTCTCTTTATATTTTTTCCTCACGTTTTCCCAAAAAAATTAATATATCACACACATTCATTATTTTTAACAAACACACCCACAAAGCTAAAGAACAATACCAAACTAAAAAATCAAATCACACATATTATACATATACCTCGAATCAACGATGTCAGAAACTGACACATTCGAAGCGACAGCATGAATAAACTCAGCTCCATCGTTGTTGCAATCGACAAAAAAACATGTGTCCCGGCTTTCACCATGTCTTAGAGCTACGAGGCGGCCGGCGAGGGTGGGGAAGAAGGAGAGGGTTCGGGAGAGCGAATTCTTGAGATGATCGGCGAGGGCTTCGAAGGAAGTGTCGGGATAAGGTTTTTGTAAGAAAATACCCTTTTGGATAGGGTTAAGCATGAGGTATGCCAACTCCCATGTGGTAAGTTCGATTCTTGATTTGGTTATTGATGAATTATTGTTGTTTGTTGCCATTGGGACACTCCATGAAGACTTGACAACAATTTTGGCCATTGTTCTTTGATTAATGTTGTTTGTAATGAAACTCATCGAATGTGTTGTCATTTGCATCTATATATAGAAAGAAAGAACAATGACAAAAACAAAGACGTGCATGTGTTGGATTTCTTTTGTGAGTTTTTGGATTATCTCAAAATGTGTTTTTTGCTATTTTGATAAGCTTGATTGTCTAGTTTTTTTTTTTTTTTTTTTTTTTACGTAACCAATGATCAATTTTATTATCTCATTTTTCGCAAAATGACGACGAACGATACAGAATGTTCGAAGTACATATTCATTAATTTCTTTATATTTTATTCAATCAAAAATTAATATTTTTTATAAATATTCTGTATTAAAATTTAATAGTTATAAACATTTAAATATATATATATGTAATTTACTTGTAAGTATTTATATGTAAAATTAATCTACTGTATTTGTAAAATTGAGTATCATATACATTGATATTTTCTATAAATATTTTGTGTTATTATTTAATGGTTGCAAATATATATATATATTATAATTATTTACTTTTCATATTGTTATCTATCTATTTATTTGTTTATTTTCTAATGGTAAAAAGTGAAATTATATGGTAGAAATTAAGAATTATATGCGAAGATAACGAAAAAAAAAAATTGAAGTTAAAAGAAGAAAATAAATAAGGGTATTGTAGGAATTTTAAGTAAATAGAGAGTAAAGAATAATAAATTAATAAGAATAGGGAGTAAATGAGAAGAATTTAGGGTTGGTTTGTTTGGGGGTTTGGATTTTGAGTTAGGATTTGAATAGTAAAAATTTTGAATTTGAATAGTTATATGATGTGATATAAATAGGGGTTGATGTGATGTTTTAAATGTAAAATTGATTTTTAGTATAATATAAAAAATGAAAAATAAGTGTTTGATTTGATATTTTTTAGGGAGGAAAATTGGAATAAATAGTAGAAGTCCATCAAAATCCTTCAAACAAACACACCGTTAGTGTACAGAGAATAAATAGAAGATTGAATTTAGAATTAGAAAGTGTAATGAAACTTACCTATAAACAAACTTATTTACTTTTCACATATAGTAAAAATATTAAAAAAGAAAATTATAAAAATATTTTTATTAGTGTCTTATAATATTAATAAAATGATATTTGTATAAAAAATTATACAAATATAAAAATACTTATAATATTAAATATAATAACGCAAAACGTAAATGTGACCCACGAACGGAGAGAATATTTGATATTAAAATAAAAATACTCCATGTGTCGCCCGCATTGAGGTGCGTGAAGATAATGGGGTCCGGGAGTCAGGCGGGGCCAATGATCCCGGCTCTATTTAACACATGGGTTTGTATACTTGTCTTTTTAAATTTATTCTTTTTATTATTTAATTATTAATTTGTTAGTATTACTTTTAATATTTATTTTTAATAATAATATATTCAATAATTATTTTATTTTAAAATATCAAATAAAAAATCAAAATAAAAGTAAAACACAAATAAGCACACCTATATAGTGATGTACATTGACATGAGTAATTTTGTCGGAAAATTTATGTTCGAAAAATTTGAACATGATGAATCAGCTTACTCGAAACGAGTTGGGCATGTCTAGTACTACCTCAATCATTTTGTTTGAATATGTTAATTAATTAATGTTAGGTAAATTAAAATATATATATATAATATATACTCCCTCCATTCGGCTCTAAGGGTCTCATTTGTCTTTTGCGCCGTTACACTTAACATTAAAAATATCTTTATATTTATATATTGTTTGTTAAAATGTCATTATAGTAGTATTATAAGACACTAATAAAAGTATTTTTGTCATTTTTTCTTAATTTGTACTACGTTTTTATATAATAATTAATATTCAAATATCAATATGCAAAAAATGAATAAGGCCTTAGAACTGGACGGATGAAGTAATATTTTCTCTATGATAAATATTCATGTGCTAAGAGAAGATTAATTAATAAATACTGAAGGCACACGAACTATAACATGATAGCATGTAAAGTATAAATAGACAATAATATATAAGTAAAATTGTTCATAACCCCTATGTGATTTTGAAACTTCACGTAAAATTTCAATGTATTTTAAAATTTGTATGACATTCTTCTATACTTTAAAAAATGTTGCATAAAACATTCACTTCCATGAAACCTTCTTTGTGTGATAAGAAGACGTTCCTATCCTTTTTTTTTTCTTTTTCTTTTTTTCTTTTTTTTTTTTTTTTTTTTGCATAGTGGATGATTTTATGCAATATTTTTTAAAATATAAGGGGATGTCATGCAAATTTTTAGGTAAAGTGAAGATTTACACTGAGTTTCAAAACCACATAGAAGTTTCATGCAATATTTTTTAAAATATAAGAAAGTTATACAATTTTTAAAACAAATGAGGAATTTACGTTGAATTTCGAAATCACGAGAGAGTTATGGAGAATTTTGTCTAATATATATATATATATGTGTATTAACATAATATAAATATAATATACAAATTTACAGCATATGGTAATAGTTCATATAGCACATACTATCATTAAATTCAGCATATAAAATATATATATAAAAACAACTCATCAGTAATATGTGAACTTTCAGCATATAGCTTTGCTTAAGAGTGTGTTAATTAATTAAATTGTTTACCTTTTATATCTGATGATTAAAGTCAATCAGCATAACACCCTAACCACCTTGGTGATAAATATTACTACCTCTGTCCATTTTTTATTATCCTAAAGTATATTTATACGATTTTTTAGATAATTATCTTTTTACTATGAATTGACAAATTTATCCCTTATGATATGATAGAGATTAAAAGCGATAAATGAATTCAGGGTAAAAAAATAAAATTTGTGTTTAAAAAATGAAATAGACCAGTAGTTATTGGACGTTTCAAATAGGAAAATAGAACATTAATTTGTTTGTTGACGGGAAAGAGTATATACATATATATATATATATGTATTGACTAAAATATCTTAGAAAAAAGTTGCAAAATGATATAATTGTATGCTAATAATTTTAAGTGAATCATAAGGATATTTTATTATTATTATGTGAAATTCACATTTACTATATTAGAAAATAAATATATCGATTATGTACCATCTAAAATAATCTCATGAATACATATTTTGTTTGTTCTCTATCCTACTTTTCGAATGTAAAATAATTGTGCTTGGGTAAACAATTTTAACTTAGTAAATATCCAAACAACTACATAGGAATTTCATTCACATTTTATTTAAAAAACTCAACGCCTCACTTCATCCCTTTCGCGCCGTCGTCTGAAGATCATTTCTAATTTTTTAAGGAATTAGAGAGAAATGTTTTTTAGCTATTTATGTAGCATTTTCTATCATTTTGGTCTTATAATTTAAGCATGTATTAAATTGGTTTTATGTATAATATAAAGTCGTTGAAAAAAATCTCAAGTATTAGAATATTACTGTATGTGCTGATCGGCACAGTCGGAGCTAATATTGGCTTTTCACGTGACAATTTATAGTACTAAATATAGGAAATCAAATTAATATTTCATTGTCAAATAATTTTTTTAGTAACTATAAATTTGATATAAAAATATTTCTAGATAAAATATATTTAAATGACGAAAATAATAAAGAGTGTCACATAAATAAAATAGGATAAAATCAAAATAAAAGATCATTCTTGAATTTATATATATGTATATTATTAAAAATCTTTTTTATTATTATTATTTCTAAATATAAATTACTATTTATAGCATTAATATTAATATTTCTCACCTAGATATATCTAATACACATAATTTTTAAATTATAGTTTGAACTCATCGTATTGTGACATGCAAATATTTTTAATAAGTTGAATTTTGAAAACTTCTTATAGCAAAGGTAGATAATAGCGCGGATGCAAAATCACCGTCTCACCTAAAAGCTCGAACGTTTAAGGAAATGCAGTTATTAATTATTCATCCGTAAATGGGAGTCCTAACAAGTAGATACTATTTGTTGGATATGCGAATCAGTTCCAAAAGAGGTATAACGCTTCTAAGTTTTATACGCAGCAGAAATATGAAACCGTCGGTGGTTAGTAAAAATTTGAACGAGGTTGTCGTGTGGTTAAAACTCCAGTGTGTGTATGTGCACGATTTTGTGGCTGAACTAGTGCAAAAACAAGAACAAACAACACACATGATGATTTGTTAACCCAGTTCGGTTTTAAAACCTACACCTGGTAGATACCAATCCAAGAGCTTTTCACTAACCCAGTACCAAGTTTACACCATATAAGACACTAAACAAATCGACCTAACATATCGTCTACCTAAGCTCCTTTTTTAAAAAAAAATACAAACATGCTGGTTTTTGTTACACCGCGACAACAATTTCAGTAGACTCGCAGTCAAGCAAAAAGTAAGGTGGCATACCGGTTGGTCATCTCCTTGGGATTTGACGTCATGAACTCCTTCTTTTGGTAAACTTTAAATCTCTATAAATACACTTCTCAACTCTCTATAAGAAAGAAGGGAATATTTTGCTTTTTTGGTGTGAGAAATTCATGTGATTCACACACTATTATCGAATTCAAAATACACTTTGCACACCAAAGACAAATATGGTATGTGTGCATATTTTGTGCAGTGTGTTCGAGACATTAAATGTCATGAAAGCTGTGTGTAATACGTGACTTCTCTTACATATCCTCTACACGAGACAATTTGATTTGTCTCATTCCAACATAAATAAGGCATGTTTTGATATAGCCAAAGCTGACTACTCGGTCAATTGTATGATTGTTTAGCAGATTTTTCAAAATGACGTCAAACAACGATTGTGATCATTGACCTGCAATTTTGTTCATACGACAAAAATAGATGCAAAAAAGGGGGTTTGTCTTTTTTCATAATACAACACTATTAATAAACTATAACAAGTAATTAAAATATGTTTTTAATGATCTACACTTTTAAATACTCAAAATTTTGTATTAATTATTCTTAATTATTTGGAAAAATCATTGTATAAGTCTTAGTTCAAAAGTAACATCTTTTAAATCACTATCAAATGATATATCGTATGTGAAAATTATATTTAAAAATTAATAAAATATTCATTTATTTTAAGAAAATTATTTATCTACATCATATTATGCTTTTTGCCATGTCCAAAAGTTAATGAAATGATCGATGTCAATAGTCATTAATAGATTTATATTATTTGGAATCACTTCTAAATCTACTTAGTCCAACAAACAATTGTTTATTTGCCTTTTCCATATTAATCGACATATTATTTAATATATATATATATATATATATTACATGTACTATGTTCTTTTACAAAAAAGAAAAAGAAAAATAAAAATAAAATAAAATAATTTTGATTAAAATTATAAATATATATATAATTATGCAAATATTCATACAAAATATAATATAAATTTTATTTTTTAAAAAAATTAATAATTCAACGTATAATATTATTTTTATATTAACCGCGTGTTTCTTTGTAATTAACATCCAAAACATCTCAAACTAAAAATAATAAAACAAAAAGACATGTTATGTATAATAACTACTTTTAGTTAAAAGTATTTGTTGGTTGACTGAATTATATATAAATAATTAAAAATTATGTGTATCCTTCAAAATATGAAAAATAAAAATATCAAAATTATTTTATATATTTCACAAATCAATAAGATATTATTTTTTTAAATTTATTATAAAAATTCGAAAAAATATTTTGATTTGGAATAGAAAAAGTATTATTTTTTTATTTACTATATAAATATATATAGATATATATATATATATATAAATTCAAAATAATACAAACTACTCCAAATATATCTAAACTCGAGATTGAAACCAAAGGAAAATAATTGATGATTTGAATTGAGTTGCGTGTACCTTTGAGTCACTCAACATGTAATAAATCATAACATACGTCAAGTTACAGAATTATTTTGTAAACAATAAAATTTTTTATAATATAAATAAATAAAAAAAAATTATTTATTAAAGAGTTAAGTTTTAAATATATATAAATTAATTTTTTTTTAATATATAAAAATAAAAGGATTTTGAATGAATTCTTATATGATGTATGATGTTATATACATCCTCCGTCCACTTATAAACTTTACATTTATTTTTGGCGCTGTGTTTAAGAAATAATAGTATTTTAATTATAGTAAATAGTTAAAAGTAGTGTAATGACATTTTTGTCCTTACTTTTTTGTGTAAAAGTAATGATGTGATGTAAAGTAAGAGTATTTGTGGAAAAAAGTAAGGTATTTAATGAAATGTTAACTTTGTAATTCGACGTCCCAAAATAAAAATATGTAAACATCGTAAATGGACGGAGGGAGTATTATTTAGTTAATTAAATTTATTTATATTCCGTAATATATGTTTTGATTTATTAAATTTTACCCCACAAAAAATTATATTATTAGAAAATAAATAAAAATAGAAATGGTGTCTATTTTTATAGGAATGAGGAAGTACAACACACCAAAAATATATATTAACCACATAAATCAAAATTGATAAGTTTTTTCTATTTATTTACATATACATATTATATGGTAAGGAAATGAACCAAAATATTGATGATTATCATAAATTGTACTCCAATAATTGGTCGGAATGGGTGTCCTTGTATTATTGAAAAAATAAATAAATATTTTTATTAAAGCGATTTTTAATAAATGTAAAAAAAAAAAATTATGTAATATATTACTTTCTCCGTCATTTAAATTTATATTTTTTTATTATTATTATAAAAATATATTATTATTTTTCCATTAGAAAAAAAAATGTACTTTTTTTTTACCAATAAAAGAAAAAAATAATAATTATTATTATTTACGTTTAGATGTATCATACAATATTTTCTCTTCATTCAAGTTCATCTCTGTTCTTCTATTAATCTCCGCCGACGAAGATTCACGAAGACGACAACAATTCTTTTTATTGCAGACACAAAATATTCATTTTTTTTTAAGTACGTACATATTACAAATACTCTCACATTTATATTTATTTATATTAATACATTTATATTCATTTTACACATCATAACGATAAAATAATTTTTACCTACCAAAATTATCACTAACTATCATTAAAATATAATATTTATTAAATTTTGTGCAAAAAAATAAATATTTATTTTCTAAAGTAGATGATCATTCATATATACTTTTACATTTCTTTTTGAATTACTATTGTTTCTAATAAAAAAAAAAAACAATTATTATCCAATTTCACTAAAATGTATACCAAATATTTGGGCATATGTTACAAGGGAGAAAGTATTAACTAATGTATAACAAAACTATTAAACCATTATAAAAAATTTCAAAATAAAGTGGATTAGTTTTAGTGTGATTTGTTTTATCGAGCCTAGTTGAGGCTATTAGTTTCGGTCAAAAATTTGCCTAGAAGGCCAGAACGCACTTGACAAATAAGACTGTGAATCCCACATTATCAAATTAAAATAAAATAAAATAAAAATAAAATGGGTTGGTGGACCAAGAACAATTGGGCCATTTTGGGCCCAACACAATCGCCATTACAAACCTTCCAAACGGCCTTTTGTCATTATTCACATCAACATAAAATAGTATACAAATAAATTTTAAAATATATAAAATATTTATTGGGCCGGGCCAATCAAGCCCATTTAGTATCCGGGCCTTGTCCGTTATCCAATCGGCCCAGACAGTTTAAAAATTGTAGACCCAACAAACCACTGTAAATAAGGGCTTTATTAATTCAAATTATTTTATACATAAATTCAAATTACATAAATATCAAAATCTCTAGTATTAATAAAATATTATTATTTTTTAATTTACTATGAAATTCCAAATGACTCAAGAAGAAGGGAATGTAAATTTTATTTTTTTGGAAATTGATTTAATTTTAATTTTTTTTTTTTTAAAGTAATTTTACTTTTTAAAAAGTGACAGAGTATATAATTTTATTTTTAAAGTGATGTAAAAATAAATAATTTAACACGTAGTTTATAAATATGAAAAATTATACTCTCTTTATTTTAAAAGAGTGTGTTGTTTTTTTATTTTCGTCTGTCTCAAAACAATTGTCTTATTTTTTTATTTAGTAATTGTGGTTTCTACTATATAACAAAACTACTCGTATTTTTCTACAATATTTATACAAATGTCACTACAATTATCTCTTTAACCTACTTTTTCAACTTTCATAAAGTAAGAACAATTTGGTCATTTACATTATATTTTATACTCACTTTCAATTTAATATCATTATTACTTAAATCTCGAGTCCTTCCCAATCAAACATCTCTTTTAGAAAAAGTGAATATAAAAAATACTCCCTCCGTCCAAACAATAAGTATACATTTACTTTTGGCGCGAAGTTTAAAAAATAATATTATTTTAATTATAGTTGGTAGGTGAAAATAGTGTAATGACATTTTTACCATTAATTTTTGGTATAAAAGTAATGATGTGATATAAAATAAGGGTATTTGTGGAAAAAAGTTGGGTATTTAATGAAAATGTTACTTTGTAATTGGACGTCCCAAAATAGAAATATGTATATTTTGTAGCTGGACGGAGGAAGTATAGAATTAAAAAATAAAATGTACTTTAAAAGTAAAAATTGAAGTTTATGCTTAGGATTAAATTCAGTTTACTTAGGTTAAATTTAATGTAATTGTAACTACTACCAAAAAATAATGTAATGGATCAAAGTTAGGAATGTCAAATGGGGCGGGTTAGCTCCAGATCTGCTCTGGACTTGGTCTTAATGGGATGGGTGCCGATCCAAAAAATTTGGTTCGAAACGAATTGTAAATTTTGAGATTTAGACTCAGCCGAGTTCGAGGCGAGTTAAGAATTTTGCTAAAAATTCGTCCCTCTCTGGACCGAATTCAAATATTTTAATAATTATTATAATTTATTTATATTTTTATACAATATAAAATATATTATTTATTTATTTAAATCAAATTTATCTTCTTGTTTATCTTATAGCTCGAAGGATTTGGGACATGACGGAGCTGAAGCCATGTTAAAGCGCATTACGGATTTTGGGTTCCGCAAAACCCGCCCCAAACCCGCGTGATAACATCCCAAAACAGCATAAGAGCAATCTATTCTACACAGGTCCGGGGGAAGACCCATTTTTAATACGGGCCGGGCCGGACCGCATTAAATATCCTACCTGCAACTTCACGTACAACTACTACGTGGTCAATCGACAGCCAAGTCAGTAAATTTCAGTGGGCCCCCATAAAATATTCTAAACGTCCAGGACTTCAAGACCAAACAAATCCCGCTCATAGATGATGAGAAATGTACACTTTGGCTCTGAGATCCCGGGACCTTCCGTAAATTAGAAAAGTAACAAGGACAATATCTGCCTGCTTTATCCTGAATCAATCTTCACCGTCCGATCCCACCGATCCTACGGCCGTCCCTTCCTCAAATCTCAAAACCATATCCACCAGAAATCACTGCACCCCATAAACTTCACCGCCAGTTCTTCTCCACTGCCTCAACTGATCGGAAAATCTCACAACAATGGCCGCCGTCGCCGTCAAAACCTTTGTCGGCCTCCGCCGGATCTCGCCGGAGAACAACGACATCCGCCTCCACAAGCCACCCGCCGGATCTACACAACACCACCGGAAATTCCGCGTAATTGCCTCAAAATCAAGCCCAAGAGTCGCCGGCCGGAACCTCAGAGTCGCGGTGGTCGGCGGAGGACCTGCAGGCGGCGCCGCCGCGGAGACGCTCGCGAAAGGAGGAATCGAAACGTACCTAATCGAAAGAAAGATGGACAACTGCAAACCCTGCGGCGGAGCTATTCCTCTCTGTATGGTCGGCGAATTCGACCTCCCGCTCGACATCATCGACCGGCGAGTCACCAAAATGAAGATGATCTCGCCGTCGAACGTCGCCGTCGACATCGGACAGACGCTTAAGCCGCACGAGTACATCGGAATGGTCCGCCGGGAAATCCTTGACTCCTACCTCCGCGACCGCGCCGCCGCCGCCGGCGCAAACCTAATCAACGGACTGTTCCTGAAAATGGAAATCCCCAACTCCAAAACGACGCCGTATCTGTTAACATACACAGACTACAACGCCAAGGCCAGCGCCGCCGGCGAGAAGAAAACTCTGGAAGTCGACGCCGTAATCGGCGCCGACGGCGCCAACTCGCGCGTCGCCAAAGGCATAAACGCCGGCGACTACGAGTACGCCATAGCTTTCCAGGAGCGCGTTAGAATCTCCGACGAGAAAATGAAGTACTACGAAAACCTAGCAGAAATGTACGTCGGAGACGACGTCTCCCCCGACTTCTACGGCTGGGTATTCCCCAAATCCGACCACGTCGCCGTCGGCACCGGCACCGTCACACACAAAAACGACATTAAAAAGCTCCAAATCGCGACGAGACTCCGGGCGCGCGACAAAATCGCCGGCGGCAGAATCATCCGCGTGGAAGCGCATCCAATCCCGGAGCATCCTCGGCCGCGGCGCGTGCTCGACAGAGTAGCTCTGGTCGGCGACGCGGCGGGGTACGTAACGAAGTGCTCCGGCGAGGGGATCTACTTCGCGGCGAAGAGCGGGCGGATGTGCGCGGAGGCGATCGTGGAAGGATCGGAGAACGGAAAGAGGATGGTGGAGGAGAGCGATCTGAGATCGTACCTAGAGAAATGGGACAGGACGTATTGGCCGACGTACAAGGTGCTGGACATTCTGCAGAAGGTGTTCTACAGGTCGAATCCGGCGAGGGAGGCGTTCGTGGAGATGTGCGCCGACGAGTACGTGCAGAAGATGACGTTCGACAGCTATTTGTACAAGAGAGTGGTGCCGGGGAATCCATTGGAGGATCTGAAGCTGGCGGTGAACACCATCGGAAGTTTGATTAGGGCAAATGCTCTGAGGAAGGAGATGGAGAAGATAACTGTATAAGAAGACTAAAGGGGCGACTACGCTGCACCGCGGTGCACTGCGCCGCCGTGTCGTTTCGTACGCTGCTGCTGCTGGCGCTGCCGCTGCCTTTTCTTTTCTTTTCCTTTTTTTTTTTTTTTTTTTAAACTAATGTAAGGTAAACGATATTTATTCGCTTATAAATTATTATTATTTTTTTTTTAACCCACACATTCCTATCCGTAATCAAATTTAAAATAGCAAAAATTAAAAGTAGTTTCATTCAAATTTTATTTTGTCATTTTTAGTATCATTCAATAAAATTTATCAAAATTAGTTTCCTTCAAAAATTAGTTTCATTCAATAAATTGAAACACCGTCGTGTTTGAATATGTGTCTGTGTTTGAATTGTAATTGCTTGAACACGGCCATGTAGCGTGCTGCTTCAAATTTTGTTACAGCCACGTCAGTATAAATCGTTAAAATTTTTAACGGTGTGATAAAAAATAATAAATAAATTTTTGAATGGGACTAATTTTGATGAATTCTTTTGAATGAGACTACTTTTGATTTTTGTTCAATTTAACCTAGGGTGTGTTTACCCGTGAGATTTGGATTTTGATTTTGAATAGTAAAATTTTGAATTGAAATAGTTTTTTTGATGTGATATAAATATGTATTGGTGTGATATTTTGAATATAAAATTTAATTTTAGTGTAATATAATAAATAAAAAATAAATATTTGATTTAATATTTTTTAGAAGGAAAAAATATCGGAATAGTAAAACATGAAATTAAATATACGCCTAGTTCTCAAGCAAAGGATTTTCCTTAAACTTGATTTACAATGTTTGAATGAGAAGGGAGGTGAATGAGTTTAGAATTATTTATAAATAATAAAATTAATATATTAAGATAAGTATTTAAAATGATGTTTTAGATATAAAAATTTTAATATTTTATGGAAAAAAATATTAAATGAAAATCGAAGATTCTAAAAAAAAAAAAAAAATTTGTTGTGCGCAACAAAACTTTGTGCTATTTCATTAAACTGTTTTGTATCTATATATACTTACATGCTCACGCTTAACAATCCTAACCAAATTGTACAACAAATAGACACAACAAGAATTTGTTATGGTCTTTTGCTTTCGGAGTGCATCAGATGTAGAATGATTGTCTCACCTAAACTTTCAAATTATTAGAAAAACAACCATTAATCATTTATCCGCAAACGAGAGTCCCCAACAGAATGAATTAATTAAAATGAAGGTCAAGATGGAATATTTGCATGTGATTGTATGTTTGAGGTGCACTTCTAAATATCTTCAATTTTGAATAATTTGCAGTAGTATAAAACTAATTTTTGACAGCCCCTCAAAATATTCATCGATATTTTGGATGAGCATTTTGGACAACAAATTATGAAACACTGGTCCAGAGAGACCTTTCGTAAGAATATCAGCAAGTTGTGCCTTGGTGGGTATGTAATCTATTTCGAACAATTTGGCTTGTATCCTTTCGCAAACAAAATGAACATCCAAATCGAAGTGCTTTGTCCGATCATAATGCGTTGGAATTTTGCTGATTTAGATCGTACTTTTATTGTCACATAGCATCTATGGTACTCCCATGCAAGCAATCTTCAATTCGCTGAGCAAATTTTGGATCCTCGTAATTTTACCAGCGCAGCTCGCCAAACCACGATATTCAGCTTCCGTGGAACTTCGAGCCATGCCTGACTGTTTCTTTGATCTCCAACTAATCAATGAACTCCCAAGGAAATGCAGTACCCAGTCACTGACCAACGTGTCTCCCAACAAGCGCCCCAATCACTGTTGTTATACCCGAGTAATGTCATCGGAGACTGATGGCAAAATAAAAGTCCTTATTCGGGTCTTGATGTAAGTATCGGATGACACAAATAGCTGCCCGCATGTAATTTTGAGTTGGGGCATGCATGTACTGTGAGAGGACCTGTATACATAGGGATGGAAATGGGTCGGGTATGGGTCAGGTCCATCCGGACCCGAGACCCGACCCGAATACACATGGTTGGACCCGAGATTCGAACTGGACCCGATTATACCCGGACCCGACCCGAATAATACTCGACAAGACCCGATGGACCCGAAATTATTTTTTTAATTTTTAAAATTTAACTTAAAATTGGACTCGAACCCGGACCTAAACCCAACATATATTAAAATTTATATATTTTATTCAAAAATATTATAATAAAATAAATAAATAAAACTAAAAACGTATTTTCAATATAATTTATATTATTAAAAATTAATTTTTTATATATAATTAATATATTAGTAATATATTAATCGGGTCCGAGTCCGGGTAGAGTCCACCATTGACCCGAGACCCGATAAGGGTACACAATACCCGACTCGGACCCGGATCCGATGCCCGTATAATTGGACCCGATCCCAAATAAATGGGTCGGGTCCAGGTCAGGTCTCGGGTCTACTCGGACCCATTGTCATCCCTATGTATACATAATATCCACACGAGTGAAGGTTATATAAATGAGCTTTACCACAAGTTGACGGAAGGCTGTACCATCATCAAGAGGCCTTGAGAAGTCTTCGGCCAGGTAGTGATTTACCTCAATGAGAGTGACATGAGATTTAGCTTCTATGCAACCATATTCCTTAAGTAGATTTGAGACAAATTTTTGTTGACACAAGCGGATGCCAATGGAGGAATGTGTGAGCTCAATCCTAAGGAAAAAACGAGGAATTCCTAGAAGTCGCATGCGAAATTTCTCTTGAAGCACCCTAATGGTTGTGTCCATATCTTCACGACAACTGCTAGCCAAAATAATATCATCCACGTAGACTAATAATATAAGAATATTAGCATTACCCGAATGTTGGACAAAGCATGATGGGTCAGAAATCGTCTGAACAAATCCCATCTTTAACAAGGTAATAGTAAACCTCGTATTCCATTATCGAAATGCATGCTTTAATCCATAGAGCACCTTCATAAGCTTCCAAACATGAGCGGATGGAATATCCTCACCAGTGAGATCAGAATATCCGTAGGGGAGCTCCATGTAAATATCTTCATCGAGATCGTCATTTAGAAATGCATTGTGGACATCAAGCTGCTCCAAATGCCAACTAAAGTGAGCTGCAAGAGCAGACACAAGACGAACAATAGTGTGTTGAAAAACATGACTAAAAGTCTCATGGTAATCAAAATCTTTGCGTTGATTATAACCTTTAGCAACAAGTCTAGCCTTATATCGTTCTAAGCTCCCTCCGGCTCTCCGGCTCTCACTTTAGTTTTAAAGATCCACTTGCATCCAATAGAAGCGCAACAAGGAGGAAGAGGAACAACCGACCATTTGTGATTCTCCTGTAAGACTATTATTTCGTCAGTCATAGCTTGTCTTCATGTTCCCGCGCCACTTTCATTTCGGACCGTGGTTCCGGACAAGAAGGGAAGCCGTAGAAATGAGATGAGAGGACAGTGCAAAGTCAAGAATAGAATTAAAAAAAAAATGAGATGGAACCTGTGAGTGCAACGAAACATCCAATACCAATAATCTGAAATGCAAATGACATGGATATGCTAATGTTTTCAAACTATTATTTATAAAATGCACTCCCTCCAAAATATTATTTTCTATTTTAGTAAAAATAATCATACACCAATATCAAAATACTATTAACTTTTATCTGAATTAAAAATATATCATTACACATATATAACAAAAATGTCAAAATTTCTTGCATACTTTCACTAACTAATAAAATACTACTCCCTCCGTCCCACATACCGTATCTGCTACACTGTAGATACGGTATTTTAGGAGGAGTGTAATTAGTAGATAATTAAGAATGTATTAGTGAAAATAATTATCCTATAATATAAATAATTATAAATTAAGATTAAGATAACTAATTAGTTTAATTAAAATTTAAAAAAAATAAATTAAAAAGTTTAAAATAAGATTAAAGTGTGTAATCATTTTCCAAAAAAGAAAAATAATATGGTATGTGGAATGGACAAAAACGGCAACGTGGACATGGTACGTGGGACGAATGGAGTATTATTTATTAATCTAATATAAAACCCCAAATACCCCTTTGAACCGAGACAGTGGGAGTATTTTTCTAAAAATATTACATTTAAAACATATTTTTTAATTTAAAATATTTATTGAAAATATATTTTTCACAAAAAATAATATAGCCAATAACTGTTGTATATTCTGCATCAAATAATTATTTTCTTCTATTATTTTTAAATTTTTCAAAATTACAAACATTTTCAAAAAATTTATTTGCTTGTTTGTGGGTTAGGAAACTGAATTTTAAGTTTTTAATTGTAAAATTTTAAATTAAAATAATTTATAATATAATATAAATATATATTAAAATATATTTTTAATGTAAAATTTATTTTTTGTGTAATATAAATATAAAAATTTAATGTGAAATTTTGATTGCGTCTAAAAGTAGGTTATTTATATAGAGTCCCATTGGATTTTTTTTTTATTGTCCATTGTGGCTCTTACAATTCTTTATTCGACAAGACTTCCAAATATACAAATTGATTTTTTCCTTCCACTTATAAATATATTTCCAAAGGTCAATGGTTTTTTTTTTTTATTTTTATTATATTTTTTTTTTTTTATTTTTATTTTTTATTTTTGTTACTTCTAATCAGGTCAATTATGTTATTTTATTTAGTTAAAGAAACTAAAAAATAATACTGTTTTAACTCAAATTACTTCTTCGTTTTTATCAATTTGTTTTTTCACGTAATTTTAAAAATATTAATATTATATTTTGATGTAATAAAAATAAAATAGAAAAATGACTAAAATAATTTTATTAGCATGTATGATATAATGATAATGATATTTGTGTAATATCTGGTAAGTTGTAAAGTTATTTGTAATATTTATGGGACGAAGGGAGTATAATATTTTACTTCATTAACGTATATATTTTTTATTTAATAAAAATAATTATATACTAATATTAAAATATTTTTAATTTATCCTTACATTATTAATGATATTATTACACTTACAATTATTTTGTACATAAAATTAAAGGACAAAAATATTAAAATTTTTTACGCACTTTTATTGACTAATAAATTAAAAATTAGTGTATTCAAGTGGGCGGAAGAAGTAATATTTTAATATAATAAACATGTAAAAAAATAAAAGTACTGTTTTTTTTTTGTATTTATGAATTTTAAAGGTTTTTTTTTTTTTGTTAATCGTTGACAAATATATATTAAAATATTTTTTTATTATTTTCTAAATTTGTAGGAGTAGAAATAATTAATTTGTACATTCAATATTTTTTAGAAGATACATTTCTCTATAAATATTATAAAAATATAATATAAATACATATTACATAATATATATAATATATATATTTTATTTACTTACAAAAAGTCAATAATCCAAAATATTATTTTTTATATTACCGAAACAATTTTTTATATCTAATACTATCTTCGTCCGACTTTAACAGTCTCATTTACTTTTTGCGTATTGATATTTGAATATTTAATTATTATATCAAAACGTAGTACAAATTAAAAAAAAGTTATAAAAATACTTTTATTAGTGTCTTATAATACTAGAACATTTTGTAAAAAAAAAATTATGCAAGTAAAAAGATATTTTTAATGTTAAGTATAATAACACAAAAGGTAAATGTGACCGTTGGAAGCAGACGGATGGAGTATAAAAAAATTCATTGAAATACTTCATTTGACTCTCTCTTTCTCATTGGAATGGTGATATTTGCTTTTTGCACGTAGATTTTTGTTGGATTGTAGTAAAAAGACAAAAATATCCTTATTAGTATAGTGTAATATAAAAGTAATGACATTTGTGTAATATATTGTAAGTTAAAAAGATATTTATTATGTTAGGTATGTAGTACAATTACTAAATTAGAAAATTGTAACTTTGTTTTGGGACGGACGAAAATAGAAAATGACAACCTTTCAACAAGGAGTATAAAAATTGAACAAACACACAATTTCACTTCTTCTTTCTTTCTTTTTTTTTTTTTTTTTTTTTTTTTTTTTTTTTTTTTAAATTATAAAGTACAATCGTCACTCAATTTATTTACTTCAATAATTGAAAATTGACCAATTTCGAATTCTATAATTAGTCCTAATGGCATTTGATATTCAAAATTAGATTCATACTCCATTAGATAGAAGTTTTTTTAATTTAAAATTTCTATAAATTTATTACTATTAATTATTAAAAATTATAAAATATTAATAGAAAAATACGTGTAATTTTCTTTCCGAATGTACTATCCGGAAGTCGAGTAGAAAAATAACTTTAGCCGATACTACGCTCAACTCTCTTTTAAAATTTGAATTTAAAATTTTCAAATTTTAAACTCAAATATTAATTTGAATTATATTTTTTTAAATATGAAATTAACACGAGTATTTTCAATATAATATTTTTAAAATTTTTTTTTTAATGATAACATTTAAAAAAATATTTTGTGTATATTTTGTGGTCACACAATATTTATATTGACCATTTGTTTTTTTGAAGAGGTATCAAAATAAAAAAAATTAAATAAAGACAAATTGGCCGAATGGAATCCTACCTTTCCCTTGTATCAACCGACATTAATGCGCTTTTCGTCACGGCCAATCCCAGCCGTCCATCCATAACTTTATCAACGGCTACGATCGTTCCTCTCAGAATCATGCTGGCCCAAAAGTAGATTCCCTTCTTTTGCTTGAGCGACTCTTATACCGTGTTTGGCCAAGCGTTTTTTTTTTTTTTTATTTTAAATTTTTAATAAATCATAAAAGATTATTATTTATTTTTTTAAATATCTATAATATATATAGATTTATTTTGTTTAATTTAGTAAATACTCGCTCTGTCCGTCACGTTACATTTAATTTTTTTGCATCATTGTATTTAACATTAAAAATATTTTTATATTCTATTAATATTATAAGATACTAATAAAAATATTTTTATTTTTTCTCCTTATTATACTATATTTTGATATAATAACTAATATTAAAAAGTTAACAAACAAAAAGTAAATATAATCCTTAGATCCGAACGAATGTAATACTCCCTCCGCCCAGCTAGATAGTATACATATTTTTATTTCGGGACGTCCAATTACAAAGTAATCATTTCATCAAATATCTCATTTTTTCCACAAATACCTCTACTTTACATCACATAATTACTTTTATATAAAAAAATTAAAGGCAAAATTGTCATTATATTATTTTTACATACCTACTGTAATTAAAATACTATTATTTCTTAAACTTCGCGACAAAAATAAATATATATTTTTTGGTTGGTCTGAGCGAGTATAATTTTTACGTACTTATAATGATATTGGCATTTTCTCTAAAATTACAATTATAAAATTTTCTATCAAGTGTATTTTTGAAGACATTCAATTAATACTCCTATATTTTTACACAATATTATCACATAATAAAATATAAAAATTCTTTAATTTGCGTGAAGTAAGGTATAAGATGTTTGTTTCTATTTATATATTCACTCCATTCCGTAGTTCAAATTTATATTTATTTTTATTTTAAATTGTAATAAAAAATATTTTTGTACGTAACATTTTGATAATTTTTACTATAAAGGCAAAATGTAACCATTATTACTTAATTCTATTAAAATAGTGTTAAAATATTTAAGCACTAAGCACACAATTTGACGACGAAAAAATATTTTTTATTAAATAACGAGTAAATATAACATTTTGAAGATGTGTCTTCATTTTGTATTTTTATTTTAATGTATATTTCAGATGTGTTTCCCTAATAGTTTGAACTTTTAGATAAGGCGGTCAATCTGGCATACTATCAGAGTTCTAAATTAGGGTTTATTGCGCTCCAACTGCGTTGCCGCCTCGTTTCGCTGTCAACTGTCGCTCACCGGACGACACCGTCACCACCACCGCCTTCGTCTCGTCAAGACCACCTAGCCCCCAAAGTTTCGTCGCTGTCGGCGGCGCGTTGCGTCTCCACGCACTAGTGATGCAAATTGGCGTTGGAAGCCTATTTTCGCTGCCACCTTCCCGCCACGTGTGACAGCACGTCTGGCGGTTTCCAGCCGCCGCCTTCGGTTTCAATCCCCGCTGTCCTGGTATAGTCATCTGATTTGAATTCATTTTGCGAATGTTATTGGGTTGGTTAACTCAGTTTGATTATTTTTTGCATGCAATACTATTTTTTATCTTCTCACTTCATAATATGACTTTTAATATGGATCGTGTGGACAGTTTCAGAATTATTGTTCTACTTTCCGGTAATAATGATGATTTGTGGGCTGAATCTATAAAAAACTTCTTGAATGCTAGAAGATTATGACGTTATGTTACTGATATTTTAATGGACCGGTTGCTCCTAATGTTACTTTGCGGTGCCTCTCACCAATAAGGAGCTAATGAATTATCGGAAAGCCTTGAATGATTGGGATAGTAAAACTAACATTATTTTTACTTGGATTCGGAATACTTCTTCCAAGTCCATTCAGATCCATCTGCACCGCATGGACACTGCCAAAAAAGCATGTAATTATTTGTGTATCGATATCAAGCCGCTTGGGCTATGCATTATTATCAGTGTATCTGGTCGTTGAATGCACTGACACATCACCCGGGCCAGGATATAAATGAGTTCTTTTCGACAGTACAGTATGTGAAATCGCATTGATGAAGTAGATAAATAGATCGAGCACTTTCGGTTGATTCAACACTTGATGAAACTTGGTCCAAAATATGAGTCTGTGCGTGCTTCTTTGCTTTATCGCCATTCCTTGCCTTCCTTGGAGACAACGATCAAAACGATTGTGGTTGAGGACATTCGTCTCAAGATGCTCAAGGCTCCTACATTGATTCGGCTCCTCTACTCCTCGTTGCAAGGATACTCGCACAGATGTCCGACCATCTCAATTTGATAAATATCGCAGTTGTCCGAATGCTGATCATTTTTTTATTCACTACCCTAAGATTGAGTGTCGCTACGGTCATCAGAATGGCCACACATCTATCCTAATTGTCCCAAGAATTTGAAGTTTGGTTAGTTCTCTTCTTCCGGCTTTTCCTCTACCATTGTTGCTACCACTAGCATATCACAGCCGTCTCAGCCGCCTCCCACTTTTGAGGACTTGCGTCACATGCTCACTCAGGTCCTATCAGTCCATCATTCTTTAGCATCAACATCACAATACATAATATCAGAGCCCTAAGATCTCGAGTTTAAGTCTCACCGTCCCCATTTTGGCATATACATGTGCAAAATTCGCATATCTTTCTTTGCACCTGAGAGGGCGTATTGAGGACTCCGTTTGCAAATAAATAATTATGAATATATATATTGTTATATATTATGTTAATATGTATATATATATTTATATTTTTTATTATATTTACGAAAAGTGTACTATAAAAAAAATTCAAAATGAATAAATCTTTTATACTTGTATTTTATGTTAAATTATACTAAACTCGTTTTGTCTGGCTATCTATATTGTATTCGTATTTAAATTTAATTGAAATTATACTCATTTTGTTGTGAAAAATGTCACTGAAAAAATATTTAGGTAACAAAAATTCTATATATAAAAATATATTTTATTTTAAAAAATACATAGTGTAAATAGTAGGATGGAAGGTTCGAGACAAAAGAAATATATATTATTTAATAAACTTAAATAAATAATTATACTTTATTTAATTTAAATTCATACTATATTTATTTGAATTTTTTTAATGTGAGAAAAATTAAAAAAAATATTTTTAAAAAAAATTTAAACGTGATTTTTTTTTTTTAATTAAAAACGATATAAAAAAAAACCAAACAGTGACTATAATAATTCGAAATCCAACAAATATGCTAGGCAAACAGAGCCTACCATTTCTGACTCTATTTGTGTGTATATATGTGTATATATAAATGCACATGTGGTGTATGTATAGGTTTTAACGAAAGCTTTCGGCGGAGGACGACAGGAAACCCCTCTCGAGAGCTTCACATTTCTCCGGTGTTTTCCGCGTGAAAAGTTTCCTTAGAATAACCGACGAACCTTCGGTGACCCTTCAAAATCGTTCACCAAACTTCGAGGATTTCACGCCGGAAGGTACGCACGCTATTGTATTTTTATATTTAGCTGTTTTTTGAGATTCTGTTGAAAAGCTGCGGTGAACAGTTGCGGAGATTTGGAATTTATTCGCTCTGTTTTAGTTTGTAGATCTGACGCATTATATGTGGTTTTCCGATTAATGGTTGATTAATTATCGGTAATTTTTTCGCGTGTCGATGGCAATCGCTCCTTGTTTATCTCTTGATTTGGATGTTTCGCGACAACTGGCTGTAGATCTGGAAGTACTTTTTTAATGAAATCAAATCTGAGTTTTGCTACCAGCTGCTGTATTTTCGTGGATAATTATTTATGGTTTCGTTACAGATGAAATTGTGAAGATCTTTTATCTTTTCAAAAATTTCTTATCTGATTTCATCTGTTAATCGGTGTAATGTTTTGGTAGTTCACTGGTTTCTCTGTTATTTGATGATTAGGGTATGAGGATTGAGTTTGCAGGTTTAGGTTGAATTTTGATTGATTTTTCTCGCCACTTGTTAGGAAGAAGAAAAAGTTTCAGATCTTGGATTTAAGTCCTCGAATATCTGTTGATGTATAAAATTAACTGTAATCAGCAATAGTTTCAGATAGAACATTTTGCTAAAATTGATATGTTGTTATCTGCCATTAAACTGCATATATGATAATATGAAGCTTCTTTTCAGAGTAGACATTATCAATGTTACAAACAAATTTTACTTGTCGTAATATTAGAGTTGACAATGGGTCGATTTGTGTCGAGTTGAATACATTAAATAGGTTAAATCACTCAACCCTAATCCGATCCGTTTATTATCATGTTGGATTCGTGTTCATCTGTTTATTGTCTTGGCGGAGTCGTATTGACCCGTATACATAATCGGGTCAAAATCCTTTATCCAAATCCAATGTTTTTTGTCCGCAGGTTGCCTAATTATCAAAATTAGAATTATTTTACATATACAATAAATATATTAATTAATATTAATATATTATAATCGGATTGTCGTGTCAGATTCGAGTTGAGGGCCTCAACTTTAACCCGACCCATTTATTATCATGTCGTGTTCGTATCAATCTGTATACATAATCGGGTCAAAGTCTTTAACCCAAACCCAATTATTTTACGTCGGGTTATTGTGTCGTGTCAGGTTTTGTCAGCTCTACGAAACATGTAATCACTTTCTTTATATGGTGAGTCTTGAAATCAATTATCAAGATCTGAATAATACTCAAATGAGCATTCAAGATTTCCATTTTTGTCTAGTTGGAAGATTATTTGTGCATAACATAAATAGTCAGTTGCTCATATTCGACGTCTTTCTTTTGTAGTCCTCAGACGTAATCGATATTTTGTAATTTCTGTAGGTTCCGAGATGGCCGCAACATCAGCAACCACTTTTTCGATTGGGTCGACCGCATCCACGCGCCCGAGCATCACCCGTCTCACGCAATCAAAGGCATTAGGCTTCAAAGTCGACGTAAAAAACAACCTCAAGAGTTTCAGCGGCCTCAAGGCGTTCTGTGAATCGGAGTCGACATTCTTAAGCAGTGAAAGCTGTGCAGCCCTCAAGCGTACTTACCGTCGCCGAGCGCAAAACCAGAGCAACCGCGCCCCCAGCTGTGTCCAGCCTCAGGCGTCCTACAAAGTGACGATTCTCGGTGCCGGCGGTGGCATCGGCCAACCTCTGTCCCTCTTGGTCAAAATGTCGCCGCTCGTCTCCGCGCTGAATCTCTACGACGTTGCGAACGTCAAGGGAGTCGCTACCGATCTCAGCCACTGCAACACGCCGTCTCGAGTGTCGGATTTCACGGGCGAATCCGAGTTAGCAAATTCTTTGAAAGGCGCCGACGTCGTCGTCATTCCCGCCGGCGTTCCGCGCAAGCCGGGCATGACCCGCGACGACCTCTTCAACATCAACGCCAACATCGTGAAAACCCTCGTCGCCGCCGTCGCCGACAACTGCCCCGACGCGCTGATTCACATCATCAGCAACCCGGTGAATTCGACTGTCCCTATCGCCGCTGAAGTTCTGAAGCAAAAAGGGGTTTATGACCCGAAGAAGCTCTTCGGCGTCACGACCCTCGATGTCGTCAGAGCGAACACTTTCATCGCTGAGAGGAAAAACCTACGGCTCGTCGACGTTGACGTCCCCGTCGTCGGTGGCCACGCCGGAATTACCATCCTACCCCTGCTGTCGAAAGCGAAGCCGCCGGTTACGTTAACTGACGAGGAAGTGCAAGAGCTGACGGTGAGGATTCAAAATGCCGGGACGGAAGTCGTCGAGGCGAAGGCTGGGGCCGGGTCGGCCACACTATCAATGGCGTACGCGGCGGCGCGATTTGTTGAGTCGTCACTCCGCGCGCTCGATGGGGACGGCGACGTCTACGAGTGCGCGTTTGTGGAGTCGAACGTTACGGAGCTCCCGTTCTTTGCGTCGAGGATTAAGCTTGGGAGGAAAGGAGTCGAGGCGGTGATATCGTCGGAGCTCGACGGGTTGACGGATTACGAGCAGAAGGCATTGGAGGCGCTGAAACCGGAGCTGAAATCGAGCATTGAGAAAGGGATCTCTTTCGTTAAGAAGCAGCTTGTGGCTGCGTAAGGGTAATAAAAATGGAATCTTGAGTTGAAAGATTGTGCTTTTTTCCTGAGGAAGAATAACAACAGCCACGCCGGTGAAAGGTGATATTTGATTTACGTTTCAGTTTTGTAGTGACTTATTGATGATTTGAAGGCTTGGTATTGATATTGAAAGTGCTTTTGTTATAGCATAACAAAAACGCAAATACTAATTGGTTTAGTGTATCATATCCATTGGTGCGTTTACTTGATTTTGGGTTTGGCTTTTTGTTTTGGATATGGTATTTTATGAAAAAAAATAATATACTCCAAATTTGTCATTTTTTATTTTTGTCCGTTCCAAAACAAAGTTATTATTTTCTAATTTAGTAATTGTACTACCTACTTAACATAATAAATATTCTTTCAATTTACACTATATTACACAAATGTCATTAATTTTATATTATACAATACTACTAGGGGTATTTTTGTGTTTTTTTTATTACAACTTATTATAATATTAATATTTAAAAATTTACGCTAAAAAAAGTAAACGATAACTTTGCACCGAAATTTATGTGCAAATGCAAAAAGTAACCAACAACTTTGCACCGGAACGAAAGGAATATTTCTTACGTGGATTGTGATTGTTGCTTATTAAAATTTTTATATGATTTGATAATCTGCAACCTTTATTCTTATGATTTTACCGTCATTGAAAATAGTTGTAAATTCATTGAAAATTTTAAGACATGATTGGTTTGTTTTTTATTTGTATTTTGTGAGGGGTTATTTTTCATATTTAATTTCTCAAAAAAATATTTAATATAAATATTATTGTTTATATTATTTTTATAACTTACATACAAAAATTCAAATCAAATCACTAAACAAACAAACCCTATGTTGTTTCCAAAACATCACGTTAAAATCATTGTTCATACCAAAACTAAATTCCAAAAAAATACACAGTGGCGACAAAATTGAGATAGAGGTAGTAAAATGAAATAATTTGTACTTCATTAAAAAAACAGAGGCAACATTTTCCCGCACCGAAGAACAAATAATGATCTTCAACAAAAGAGAAACTAAAATAGAAGTTCTACTCATGTCGATTGCGTAGTTAAGTTAGAACACGGAATATATAACAAACACGGGAGACGTGATCAGTGTAAACTATAGTAGGACGACGCAAACATCAAGTCATAGCACCCTTCTTTACAAAAGCATGTCGGAATTCCCCTACATAACGAAGAAAAAAAAAAGGCATTTTACCTCAAACAGTATGTAAAAGTGCTCAATAGTCGTCATCATATCTGTAGGTGTCGTTGTAGAATGTGTAATTGCTGCTCCTTGAAGTGCTCTCCCTCGACTGTACGACCGAACATAATGTAAAGCAAATTCGACTAATATATGCGGAAAATAGATTAAGGGCAGTTAAACAATAATAACAATGGTAAATTATATAATATACACCGCATCTTTGTTTTAACCTAAATAGTTAAAATGCTTTGTGTAAATTTTATTGTATAGTTCACATTCGTGTTACTGAAAAATGCACATATAACACAAATACGATCAACATATTCTCTGTAACTTAATGGTGAATTATGAAATAAAATTTTATGGAACATGTTTCTTTTTCACTTATGCAATTCTCGTAGTTCTCCGCAAAAATTTATTCTCTTTTCACAAAATCTATATTTGTTTTTCTTTTTCGTTTATCCACCAAACATATACATTTTTCGTTTATACACTCCCTAATTTACACTGTTCAAACATTATACTTACACCTCGTCAACTCAACTATACACTTCCCAAAATACCCCATTTTATGCCACAATAAACTAATATAACATTATATTCAGTAAAATTCAATTTCAGCTCATACAAATATATTTTTCGTGGATGGAAAAAGTACTATTTTTTTCATAAAATATCACATTAATTTACTATTTAAAAAAAATGCAAAGAGAACATTTCCTTTACGTGCATAAATGAAAGGGTAAATTATATAACATTCCATTTTGTTTTAATAAAAATGCATAATAGTGATTTATTTATTTCGTGAAACTCCGTAGTGTTAATGTAAAATTCGCACGAAACATCATTTTCATCCCAAATAAAGATTATTTAAAATATTTTGCGTTTTTTATTTGTATAAAACTTGCGTAATTTAGGCCTTTATTATAATCAAACATTAGCTTTGGACAAAGAAGATATTTCGTGCAAACTTTACATTAACACAAGGATTTCACGCAATAAATAAAACAGATGATATTTTGTGCATTTTTACTGAAATACAAAAAAGTGATATAATTTACCTTTAACTGAAAAAACAAATGTGATGCAAATATATTACCCTTACAATAATAATAATGCTATAGCATACCTTGTGAATCATTTTCTCGAAAGCTTCGGATCCATTTTCTTGGATATATTTTTCTGCGGCTGTCAGAATGTCGTCAGGTTTGCTGAAGATATCCTTCTTCCTCGGAACATACCAGATGTTAACACTCTTCTGCCGAGTGACCAGGTATGGCCGAACAAAGTGCTCGTACACATAAGCAGCTCCACTGAAGTACGGTATGACTAACCAGCAGGTGAAAATCAGCTTCGTGTATGACCAGAACGGTAGCCTGGAGGCACGCACATAGATTTCAGATAATCACAAGCTTTTAACAGCACCAAAAGGTTCGCATCACAGACTACGTAATAGAGAATTATAAAAATACTCTTCATAAAATGGCACATTCGATCCCACAAAAAGTGATCGTTTCAATTTCTTGATCCACTAGTGACGAAAAATCGAGTCTTGGCCAAAGCTTATAAAGAGATCACTTCACACTTGTTGAGAATCAAGGGTCTGTTCTGTTTAGGATTTTTTTTTAAAAAAAATTTCTTTGTTATGCAATCATCACGATATCTTATAATAATACATTATTTTTTCTTACAAAACATTACATCAAACCCTAAACATAATCCCAAACACCCTAAGATCTCGGAATTGCTCCCCTTTATTATCAGTCTATCCATCTATTGTAGTTCATGTTCTCTCTTCTATACAAAGGTGTGTTAACTTTGTGGGATGAGATTATAATACATAGGGCTATTTTAATGGATTATATAATCACACGATAAAACAATATAATGTTTACTATAGTGGATTATTATATAAATTTATTATTTTTTAATCAAAATATCCATAATTATATGATTAAACTAATACTACATTAACTATTAATAAAAGACAAAATAGTCTTTTTAGCATCAAAACTACTTAATATTATTTAATCCTACTTAGAAGAGAATGAATAATCCTTAATTATGCTGCTATAGCTTCACTTAATTACGAACTATAATAATATATAGTAAACATATGATTAAGTTGAATAAAATAATATTATATTACCATAATAATCCAAAGTAAACACACTCAAACTGTATAGGAAGAACTATAATCTATAAAAAATGCACAAGTTTCGCATAGCATCAAACTTTTGCTCCATAAGACTCCAAATTATTTTTGTGAAGGTCAAAAACTTAATGATGAACAATTTATCAACAGCAACAAAGGAAAATTCATAGGATTTGGATCTTACTCGAAATCCTCCAAAATGGTACACATTATAAGCATTTTCTAAAATTCGGCTCCGTTTGTTTGTGGGTTTTCAACCCGAACCTTACTATTCACTAATTTTTCCACTCTAAAAAAATATTAAATTAAACATCCATGTTTTATTTTTTCATATTACTATAAAAACTAATCTACATTCGAAACATTAAATCAAACAATATCTGAATATATAGCATCAACCAACTATTTCAAAATTTAGTATTGAAAACCCAACTCCCAAACTGTCAAACAAACATCGAAGAATTGATCAAGGCCAACCACACAGAAATAAGGCATCAATCCAATAAAACCCTCTCATCTCAACATCGAAAATTAGAACTAAATTAGACAAGAACTCACCATTCGATAAGCTTTGCAAATGTAAGCTCAAAAAGGGTGATCATGGAGTAAAGCACCCAATAGGTAAGCCATTGCTGATCATCAACAGGCGATTTCGTCTCGATCGCCCTAATCGATGCATATCTTCCCAATACATCAAAAGGCAGCCACAATTAACCAAATTACAAACATTTATCAATAAATCACAGCTGCAAAAACTTCAAATTTACCATAAAATTAAGAGCAAGCAATTGAAATACGATGAAAAAACAGAGCCAAACTTACAGAGGATAAACAAGGCTAACCACCGGTCTGCAAAAAAACGCCCAAAAAACATAATTATTTCACATAACAATTCTCACAATTCAAAATCAACATTCTCTAATTTCAATTCACATTTCCCATTATCCAAATTAAGATAGAAAACTGAAAAAACACCACCGCTAAAATTAGGGATTGACCACAGCCAAAAAAACCCTAAAAATCGGGCCAAAAATTGACTAATTGAACAGTTAGAAGCCAAATAGGAGAAACTAAGATATGATACCCAGCAAGAACGTCGAAATTTTTGGCGAGAACTTTGAGGAAGCTCGCGGCTCCAGATCCGCCCATTTTTTCTGAATAATCAAACCACAAAATTAACCGCCGCGGTCAGAGGAATAAAAATGGCTACTGATTAGATCAGAAGTTGAGAAATGGGTGGGAAGGTACCTGGTTGGTAAAAATGATTGATCACAAGAGGTGTGGTGTAGGTAGTCTGAGAGTAGAATGAAGTTCGTTCACAGAGAAGAATCGAATCAAGACTGGAAGAAAGATGACGAAGGCAGATCGACAAGTGCTTCCACAAAATAACGAAGGCTTGCTGAGTAAGCAATTTCTACTTATTAAAATATTCTCTATATTTCTATATATAGAGAATATAAATAAATAAAAATTAAAAAATAAATATGGTATAGAATTGGATTTTAAATACATTATTTTATTTTATTTTTTTTAAAAAAATATATCAAATTAATTATTAATTTTTTATTTTTTATATTATATTAAAAATTAATTTTACATTCAAAATATCAAATCTACACCTATTTATATCACATCAAACAATTATTTAAATTTAAAATTTTTACTATTCAAATCTCAATTTCAAATTCAAACTCAAACAAACGTACGTGTAATTTTTATATTTTTTGCTTTTATAAATAAAAATATTTTAATATTGGTAGGATTATATGCTTCTGAGTTTTAAATAAACCATAAAAAACAGTGAAATGAATACATTGATCTGAAAATATTTATATTTATATTAAAATTATATATTTTTAAAATTAATTTAAATAAAAATATATCAAAAAATATATATATAATTTTAGATATAAATAACATTTTCCTTGATCCAATTGAATGCATCTTTAGGTTCTTGCAATAGAGATTTTAAATATATATATATATATAGATATATCACATGTGTGTTTATTTTGTATTTCAGTTTGAAGAAATATTTATATATAAAATATTATAAATTGTGTATATAATATAAAAATAATGAACGAGTGTAAAATATATTAATTTATTGAAAAATTATATTCAAATTTTTTTTTTCAAAATATTTTGGAATTTTATGTAATTGTTTTTTTTTAAACATCGGATAGTCTCACACTTTCTAATAACTCTTAGTTTTAAATCATAAAAGAATATATAATTAAAACTTTTCAAACAAATTTGAATTATAAGAAAAATTTATGTACATTTTACTGGACGAAGAAAATAAAGTTAATAATATTTTGATACGATGAATAAAATATTTTATTATAAACTAATTATATATAAATTTAAGTAAACAAAAGAAATGATTTTTCTAAACAAATTGTAATATAACTTTGAAAGAATTTTAAAATAGTCATAGACTATGGTTGATATAATATTAACAAATATTGAATAAAAAAAATTATAGTGTAAAATTTTAAATAAATATATATTCAAAAATTATTATTTATTTCTATTAAAACCACCTATTCTATCAAATAAGCTTACAATTCATAACGAAGGGAATATACTTTTATTTTAATTTGAGATGAAAATTATTATTTAATTTGATGCATATGGTAGAAAATAGTGTGTTAAAATAATATTTTGCATGATTGTTTATAAAATAATATTTTAAAATATTATTGAATAAAATTTCAAATACAAAGCAAACAAGCTATTTATTTTTCATACAAAAATATTTTAGGGTGTTTCTTTTATCATATTTGATCAAATTTTTACCTTTTACTAAATTTTTTATTTTTTTTAGAAAAATATCAAATTAAATATCTTATAGATATTAAAAATTAATTTTGCGAGCTTTGTTTAGAAAGAGAAAGTGTTGTTCGATACTCTCACCCTAGTCCATCTATCCTCCATGTTTTGAATGACTATTTAGCACTTTAACTTGTCAGAGATCTTGCCGGAGATTGGGAGAATCGGAGTTCTAACCGAAGAAAATGATCAAACTCTGAGCAATTTTGTTCTGCGATCGTTGTCAATATGAATTTGTGATAACTTGAAAATTGTGGAGAGAATTTTCAAGGTAGATCATTATAGAGGTGTGAGTTGAAGGAGTTTTTCTTTTTTTAAAAACTCCAAAATTTTCTATATAAAGAAAGCTTGTGCTCGGGTCTTTTTTTCATTTCTACATCACGGCCTTATAAAGATTTACCTATTAACACGGTCGTGTCATTACACTTAACTTTGCGAAATCATAAACAAAGCTATTTCAAAATCTCAATATTATCTTGTGTTGCAAAATTATTTCTTATTTCAATTGTAGGGTATTATCTTTATTGAATAATAATTCATCGGTAGCTTTACTCGTGCCTTGAAATATTTTTTCTCTTGCTTCAAATGCATGTTTCTCATAATCCTATGATTTGTTATTATCAACAATGAGAAGGATTTCAATGTCGATCTCACCACGAGACCACATCAAAGGCCTTTGCCTCTTAAATGCAGCACAAATCTGGCTACTAAAGCTACTGGAATTCTCGATTAGATCGTAAGATCTGATGTTGACGTAGACTGCTATGTGTTGCCAACCGTTTCCCCTAACAATCCCGGAGAAAGCTATTTCGAAGCCATCCATGATGATGCAAAGTGAGAGAAATAGGGAAATTTGATTCACATAATCAATGACTTCGTATTCGTGATTGTATGATATCCGAACACATGTTGACAACTTAATACAATTGCGCTTGCTGCAATGCACTCTGCAACACTATGTAGAAGATTGTTTGGGCAGTTTTTGGTCGCGTTGCTCCTAGTTCATTCGATATCTGAGTGCTTGCAGTCGCTTCAAATGAATTGGGTATGTGATAATGGAGCGACATGGCCATAAAACAAATGGACAATACAGATGTCTCAAGCTATCCGTAGCAGCCCATAGAGTAAAACGATAATTTCATAGGACCATCACGCCAAATAAATCATCAAGGCTTCCGAAATGACCAAAGATTAAAATGGTCTTATAGTTAGAAAAACCTCCCGTGAGAAAGAAGCCCAATGTGTTTTCTTATAGGATGAAGAATATACCATATAAAGCCCAAGAATAAATGCATTAAACCAATACGATATAGCAATTGAAAGGCTAACGTCTGCACTCCCTAATTTAAGCTGGAAAATAAATGCCCAACAAAGAGGCAGATGGAAACACAGAGTAACTACTGTGCTTAGAAGCATCAGAAAGATCATACTTTGAATCTACAAATATCGAACCAATGTTTGATATATCACATATGGGAATAGTGAAGGGATCAACCACATCACATATTTTCCTGCCTCGACTAAAGTAAAAGGGTCATGGCTAACAAATATAAATAGTTTGTTGATATATATCCACAGAATAGAGATGAGGAAAGCCACAAAACATAGACATATAATGCCGGTTAATGTGTATATCCCAACTCTTCGGTATTGTTGTGCTCCATATGCCTGTCTACATAGAGTTTCCAAAACAGTGGTCATACCAAAGATGATGTTGTAGCCGGTGACATTAGCGATGGAAGCACTGGAAAAAGAGAGCTTGCCAAGATGGCCGAGCATAATAACAACAAAATGCACAGAAGGTACTGCGAAACCGTAACCACCAGCATTGGAAACGATATGCTATTAACCTTATTCATCTCCGCCCAATCAGAATCGAATTGAGGCGCCTCGTTCCTTTTTCCTTCGGCAGCAACAACGGTGCTTCACACTCCTCTATTTCCATAGGTGCGAGGCTAAATGGAAAGGAGGAAGTAGAGTTGCATAGGAAAGGAAATGCGGAATTGCAGGCGACACTTCACTTTCTATTCCGAGTTGTGGTTATTAGGTTTTGTAATCAAGGTGGATTATAGTAAAACTTTTAATGGATTGAAATCCCCGGATGTAGGTTGGTTTATAACCGAACCATGTTACCAAACACCTTGCCTCATTTACTATTTTGAAAGTTTAAACTTATATCGTTAGAAGTAAGTTGTTATAACTATGATATAACAATATTTCAGAAGTTTGCCCTATTTTAAGTGTTCCAAGGAGTTTTGGCGGAATACTCATTCGACATTAATATTTTCCTTGTGAGAAAATTATGGCCCGTACCTGATTTGGAGGAGACCCAAGAGGTGGAATGGTTGGTTTTCATGGTTGTGGCCGTGTTCGTGGTAGAGGTCGTAGTGGTCTACGTGGCTGTATCAGCCTTGTCCTTAATCCTGGTGAATTTTTCGGACTTGTTCTTCTTGTTGATCCCATTACCACTATTTCTGCCATAGAAGAAGATCGTCCATAACAATATGATGAAAAGTTGTTGCTGGAACTATTCTGTATATACTTGGTAGTCAACTGATGTTCTAGAGGAAACAATTTCAAAAGCTCCAGTGGGAACTCATGCAGATGAAGTTGGTGTTGTTGGTGTTATGAAATCGACGTTGCTGATGTTAGGGATGTTGAGATTGAAGATACTAGAAATATTTTTTATGAGCAAGTTATTATTGAAAATGATGCAAATGGTGTTCCTAATGAACGTATTGTTACTGCACCATTGTTCAACAATCTAAAAGTGGTGAAGTTTCTGACGATGAAAGGATCAAAACAAATGTTAATCCATCTGAGGCGGTTGTAGAAGCGCATGTCCCATTCACACTGATGCTCTTGGTGCCGAAGAAAAATGTACAAATTTTGATTATAACAAATCTGCCTCTAATGATAGTCTCAATTCCATTATAGACAGGGCTATGGATAGCCTCTCTCCTCAACAGGAGGAAACACCTACAGACAAGTCAAACCCCCATTTGGAACATGAAGCTCATCAATCTGTTCGTCGTGAGGAAGAAAGTGAGGAAGTTGTGGTCACACAAGAATCACAATTGGTGAAAAGAGAAACTGAGAATTCAAAAACTCATTCCTCATTCTCAAGAAAGGAAGATTGACAAGAAAGAAGCCTATTATCGTGGCTCATGGAAAATCTGGAAAAAGACTCAAGCGCACTACTTTGAAGGAAAGATCAAAACTAAGAAAATCAAAGTCTCGGAAACAAGACGAAGGGTCCCATCCAATTTCTACAGACCAGACAATGGATATCACTCACTTTGATGATTCCGCTGAGGGTTTTGAGTATGATGTTGTAGCAAATCATGGGTTCGTAGCAGATACACATTTAAAAAATCGTGTTCATGTTGAAGTTGGACTCTCTGAATATTTGTAGGAGAAATGAATACTCTATTGGGTTGTAAGCATCAAAAGGTATAGTCTCAAACTTGTAAAAGAGTTTTATGCTAACATTTCTGTCAATATTTTGAACGATGGAACCCTCTAGTTCCACAGGGCTTACGTTCATAGGAAGGTGTTTGAGTTGAGCCCTCGTGTTATCAACAAGTTATTGCAGTTACCTCTTGACAACTCTGAAGAACTTTTATTCATATTGCTTAAAGAATTAAACCGAAATGTTGCATTATATATCTCTGCCAGAAAGTCGAGGGACTTTGGCAGAAAAGAACTCACAACAACAGAACTTACAATGAAGTTCCAATACCGATTCCATTTATGTGCATTGAACGTGTTTTCCACAAACAATGCATCCAACATCAGCTCATAAATGGGTCAACTATTGTTTTCTATTGATAAGTTATGTTCCAACATCAATTTTGGTTTTCTGGTAATGGTAAAATACACCATAGGTCCAAAATTAAAAGCTACCAAATACCTTGCCATGATCTCCCTTCTTTTGAAAGAAAATGGGATTGTGCTCAAACCAAGTGAGGATGTGGTTCAGATTGGCTTCTTCAAGTTGAAGACAAATCTTCAAAAGCTTCACAACGACATCATAGAGAACACCCCCTTGGACGTTACTAATCAGCTTATGAAAACGCGTTGTTCACTCCTTGAGGTAATGTAGGAAAAACTGACTATCAAAGTCACTTTGGGTGACCATCGACAAAACATCTCCCGTGCAATCACTCTGCTTCCGAAAGATGCCTCTGAACTTGCTGATGATGAGGCTTTGGAGTCTTTTTAGTTCTTGGAGCCCGTTCGGATGTTTTTGGCATCTGCTCCTCTGATGAGGAAAGATGTGCAAGAAAGGGGGAGCTATGGAGTTTTTGTTGCTGATATGTTGCTATTCGTTTGTTGAACTTGTTGTTTGTGTTATTGTCTTGTTGCTGAAATGTTTATGGGTTGGATGTAATCACAATCATTGTAATTCAAAAGGGTTGTCACATTTATCTTTTATTGGTCTGTAATCAAATTTTAAACTTATCTTTTGAAGTATTAAAGTATTTGGTTAGGTGTGGAAGATTTTCTTCTGCACATTGAACGTAGTCCCATATGCATAAAAGAGAGAATATAAAAAGAATAATTTTTCCCATTATTTGTTTTGGCATATGGGTATAACTCACTCCTACAGACATTATTGTCAAGGGCAAAAAACAGCAAGCAATCACACTCAGACTGCAACTCCAGTATGTATTTATTTTTGTCTTTCCCTTCAAATATCCATACAAGAAAAATTGTAAATGAGGATGCAAATATTATCAGAACTGTACAGAAACTCCCCATGCCATTTATGTGAAAATAGAAAATAATGATTTTGTTTTTGCATGGACAACATCTTGGTTGTATAGTCAACCGATGATAGTTTTTTGGTCGTGAATAGGGTTTGAGAGATTTGTTTATAGAGAGAAAATATTGTTTGATAGTTTCACCCTTGCCTCATCCACTCTCCATATTTTGAATGAGTGTTTAGCACTATAACCCGTTGAAGGTCTTTTCGGAGATGGGAGGAATCGGAGTTTTAATCGAATGAGATGATCAAACTTTGAGCAACTTTGCTCTGTAGTAACAACTTGAACATGTTGAGAGAATTTTCAATGTAGGTCATTGTAGAAGTATACATTGAAGGAGTTATAGTTATTAAGTTTTATAATCATGGTGAATTATAGTAGAACTTCTCTTTTATTAGAATATTCCGGATGTAGGTTGGTTTATAATCGAATCGTATTACCAAACACCCTGCCTCATTTACTAGTTTGAAAGTTTATGCTTATATCTTTGGCAATAAGTTGTTATAATTGTGATATAACCATATTTTGGGAGTTGACCCTAGTTTAGATGTTTGAAGAAATTTTGGTGGAACATCCATTTTGCAACAATATCAAATATTTATTTTTATGTGAATATTTTCGAAGTATTTTATCTCAAAAATATTAAAATTCAAAACATAAATAAACAAAAAATACAAGTAAAGTAACCGTAAATTTTTAAGAATTATATATATATATAATTGAATAATAAAAAACAATTTTTATACAAAATAGTAATTCTATATATATCAAAATTATAAAATAAAAAAAAAAATCTTTAAAGAAAACATTTATATTCAATATTTGATATTTATTGTTTAATATGTATTTATCAACTTATTTGTTCTATTTATATTGTATTTACATAATTATTTTAATATGCAATATTCGCATTCTTTATAAAAATAGTTTTTTAAATAAAATATTACATTCAATATACTATTTAAATTAAAATTCTAAAATGCTATCAAATAAACATATTTTTTAAATATAAATTTGAGACAAATATATTTTTAGTTTTGTAGATATCAAATTTTTTAGAAAACTATTTAGAGCACAATTGACCCATGTAGTAAATTTGTTTAGAAAAATCCAAAAGTGTGGATATTGGTTTTCATAAGCATCAAGTAAGCAAAGAGGCAATAACTCCATTAATATTTTAGTAATTTAAGTAAAATATTTATAAAAATAATTTTATATCTAATTTGTAGTCGACTAAAAAAATCATATTAAAGCCCAATTTTTAGGCGGTTTTCTTTTTTAAATAAAATACACACATCTTACAAAATTAAATTCATACCATTTTGTGTTAAAAATTAACAACTAAAGATTATATATAAAATTATTCTACAAGTAAATTATATAACACTGTATTTTATTTATTGCTTGAAATTAGACTGTGTTAATTTAAAATTTGAAGAAAATATCCTATTTGTCCAAAAATAGTGTTTGATTCTAAATAAAAATCTAAATTACATGAATTTTGTATAAAATATTTTAAATAATTTTTAAATAATTGATCAATCATTTATTTTTATAATATTTTTTTTTAAAAATCAGATAATAATTTCTCTTAAAAAAGATAAAATGAATGATTAATCAATTATTTATTTATTTATTTATTTATTTTATTTAAAAAATTATTTAAGATATATATATTTTTTTGGTATCAAACTTGCATTATTGGGTTCGTATTTACAATCAAATATCAGTTTTGGACGTATAAAATGTTTTGTACAAACTTTAAATTAACACATGAAAATTTTGTGCAGTAAATAAATATATGATGTTTTATTCATTTATACTAAATACATATTGGAGTGTTATATGATTTATTATTTATTTATTTATTTTGTATAAACTTTATTTAGAAGACCAAAATGAGAATATATACCACATAAGTGATTAAATATACATTAATAACTAAAAATTTTCTAAATAATTGAGTCGACAAAATCGAGGGATTGAATCCAAAACAAACAAAACTAACACCAAAACACTAAACAACTCTCTATTTCTTGGCATGATTCGAATGTTTACAAAGACACAATCACAAGAATCCAAAATCAAAATGATTTATGAACCAAACAAGAACTATTCGATCAAACTTTCGAACCCAACAAAATTCCCCAAACGGATCTCCCAATGCACAAAACCAATTAATCACTTAGAAAAAACCTCCCAAAGACCAACAATTTCTTGGCAACAAACCCTAATTTATTACCTCCATAAACCTCATTTTTTTGTCTCCCCTCACATACTCTTCCTCACATTTTTTTTCATTTTTTTTTTCAATAATTTTTTTTAGCTATGAAGACTAATAATTCCGGCGAGGGCCGCCGCCCCGACATGGTGATCGACATCGGCCGGCCGGTGGATCTCGCCGGAGGGCTCGAGTTTTCCGGTTTAACGTACACGGTGATCAAGAACATGAAGGACGCAGATGGGCGTTGGACTAAGCAAGAGGCCGACTTGTTGCACGAGATCACGGGGTACGCGCCGAAGGGTTGTGTCACGGCGGTAATGGGCCCGAGCGGGGCCGGGAAGTCGACATTTTTGGATGCGTTGGCCGGGAGGATTTCTTGGGAGAGCTTGGCCGGGATGGTTTCCCTGGATGGAGTCGAGGTTAGTCCGAGCTTGATCAAGAGGACATCGGCGTATATAATGCAAGATGACCGGCTTTTTCCGATGCTCACAGTCTACGAGACGCTCATGTTCGCCGCTGATTTCCGGCTCCGGGGAGTGTCGCGGGCCGACAAAAGACAACGTGTCGAAAACCTCATCGAGCAACTTGGTTTAATGGTAACTTGATCTTTAAGCTTTGTATTAAATTTATAAGATTTTAAATAAAAATATACTCCCTCTGTCCCACTTACTGTATCCACATTGCTGTTTTTGTCCGTCTCACATCTCATGTCACTTTTCTTTTTTGGAAAATGATTATACACTTTAATTTCATTTTAAATTTTTTTATTTTATAATTTTTAAAATTTTAACTAGAGTAATTAGTTATCTTAATCTTAATCTATAATTATTTATATTATAGAATAATTATTACTAATTATATTTATTCTAAATTCTCATGTCTACTGTAACTTGAACACGGTACATGGAACGGAGGGAGTATTATTTTATCACATAAAAGATTAAGTTTGTTTATTTAGCATTTATAGGTGGAACTATTTTTTATAAGTATTATAAAAATATATATAATATATACATATTAATATAATATATAATGTGTATTTTATCAACTTAAAAAATAAAAAAAAAAATCAACCATTAAATTTGAAATATTATTTTTTCTATTAACAATCCAATCCCATAAAGAATACTTACTTCTAAAAACACAAAGTGAACAAAATAATTACTCCCTCCGTCCCGCAAGAAGGTTGTCATTTAGTTTTTGCATCGTTATACTTAACATTAAAAATTTTCTTAGTCGACCAATATTATTGTATTTGTATTATAAGAGACTAATAAACGTATTTTTGCTTTTTTCTCTTGATTTCTACTGCGTATTGATATAATAATTAATGTTCAAAGATCAATACGCAAAAAGACCATGGCAACTTTCTTGCGGGACGGATAGAGTATATCAAAATAGTATTCAAATAAAAACTCAAATCAAACACTCTATTTTAAATTAGTTTCAAACCATAACTAAGTAAACTATCATATTTTATTCTTTTATATCGGCAAAAAAAAAATCCAAAAAAATCTATTTTTTTTAATATATTTAAAAAATAATAAAAACTTTCACTCAAATAATATAATAATTTTCAAAAATACATTAGTAATTCACAGTAATAATGGTAAAAATTCTGTAATATTAAAAATGTAAGTGTTTGGTTTCTATTTGAAACTAAAATTACATATTACTATTTATTACATAATTTTCAATAAAAATAAAGTAAATTAATTGAAGTTTTGAAAATAAACTGTTAATTAAAAAAAATTTAATTTTTATAATAAAAACTTATTATTTCTTTACCATGGATTTGCTTTTAATTTTGTGTTTGCCTTAAATAGTAGTTTAATTTGATATTTTATATAAAATTTGATATATTTTTTTTTTATATAGAAAATCATAAAAGTAAATAGTAAACAAATTTATAACAAATACTCAAACCTAACCATCGTTATACTTATTGCCAATAGTCAGCCAGAAACACATACATCGGCGATGAGGGGACGAGGGGAGTCTCTGGAGGCGAGCGGCGCCGTGTCTCAATAGGCGTCGACATAATACACGGACCGCCCCTACTATTCTTGGATGAGCCAACCTCCGGACTCGACTCTACAAGCGCTCATAGCGTCATCGAAAAGGTCCACAACATAGCCCGCGGGGGTAGCACCGTGGTCCTAACCATCCACCAACCCTCGGCTCGGATCCAACTCCTCCTCGACCACTTGATCATCTTGGCTCGCGGCCAACTCATGTACCAAGGACCGCCAAAAGACATGACGCCCCATTTGGAGCGAATGGACCGTAAGGTCCCAAAAGGCGAAAGCTCCATCGAGTATTTCATTGACGTCGTGCAAGAATACGATCAATCTGAATTCGGGGTCGAGGCTTTGGCCAAGTATACGCTCACGGGGGTCAAACCACCGCCACTTTTTACACACGACGAGATGCCTTCGCCGGCCGGCCACTCTTTTCCGACCCGACCAAATGGCCACCACCACCACCGCCACCGCCCTCCGGCGGCGGCCGGAGCCACGCCTAAACGCCTCCCTTTGCAAACACTTAAACATGGATTTGATCATAGTGTTAGGAGCCAATATTCTTGGAGTGTTAGCCAATCCATGACTTTTACACCGGTTAGGAAATATGGAGATCAGAGGACCCTAGCTCAGAAAAGGTACGTATCATTTTTAATAAAAATATATAAGTAATATTATATAATTTATTTTTATATTAAAATATATTCATTATTTTATACATGTGAATTTTTTTTGACGGGATGAAAAGACAACATGTGAATAAGGATGGTACAATAAGGATGATACAAAATAATAGTAAAATATTAAATTTTTGTTGTATCAAAAATTTTGATACGATATGGTATCATATCAAAATTTTTTGATACGATAACTATATACCGTCTGATATTTATAGTATATATCAAAAATATCATATACTATTTTGATATTTCGGTATAAATTAATATATTGATACGGTACTATAATCGGCTATACCAATTTGTCATTATGATATCGGTAAATATATCGATGTATATTTTTAACATATTTGAAAACTTTAGTACGATATACAATATGATAACAAGCTATTCTAATGGTTTTTCCCACATTATATCATATATTAAACTTATCTTATATCGTTTAATTCTGATACCACTTGTTTGAATTTTTCGTTGCAGTCCCTCTCGCGGGTACTATGCGTACTCAAGCGACGTCCTACAAGGGACCCCGACGCCTCGTAGTAGCGACTACACCGTAAACGAAGACGACTACATAACACATAGTAGCTTATACCCGAGCGACCTCCCGCCCGACCGTCGCCACCACCTTGTCGGCCCCAAGTTTGCGAACTCGTTCTTCTACGAGACGTGGATACTCATGCGGCGCAACTTCATCATCATCATGAGGACGCCAGAGCTTTTCCTCTCCCGTCTCGTCGTCCTCACGTTCATGGGGATCATGATGGCAACGTTGTTTTGGCATCCGAAGGGCGACTCACAAGGGATAACGAATCGGATAAGTTTCTTCATCTTCACCGTTTGCCTCTTCTTCTTCTCGTCCAACGATGCCGTCCCGGCGTTTATCCAAGAGCGGTTTATATTCATCCGGGAGACGTCGCACAACGCATACCGATCGTCGTCGTACACCGTCGCCGGCCTCGTCACCTACCTCCCGTTCCTCGCCCTTCAGGCGGCCTTGTACGCCGTCATCGTATGGTTCCCATTGAAGCTCGAGGGCCCGTTCGTCTACTTCCTCCTCGTCCTCTACATGTCCCTACTCTCGACAAACTCGTTCGTCGTGTTCATTAGCTCGATCGTACCAAACTACATTCTCGGATACGCGGCCGTGATTGCGTTCACCGCGCTCTTCTTCCTCTTCTGTGGATACTTCTTGGACAGCAACGCAATCCCCGGGTACTGGAAATGGATGTATTACGTCTCCACGATGACCTACCCGTACGAGGGGCTGCTGATGAACGAATACGAGACGAGCAATCCGTTCGGCGGGATCCAAGGATACAACATTCTGAAATCGCTAGCCATAGGGACGAAGGCGAACGAGAAATGGGAGAAGATCTACGCGATGCTCGGGTGGGCGGTCTTGTACAGAGTTCTTTTCTACATCGTGCTTCGATTCTTCTCCAAGAATCAACGGTCGTAGATATACCTGCAGCTCAAAAACAGAGTAACATCGTACGATCGTGTCATGTACTTCACCTACTTACATTTTTTTCGAAGTACAACACAACTAATGCACACGACGCAATATACCCATCTTTGATCGAAGAAAAGAATCGCAATCTTCATGTCAAAACTAAGACTCGAACATTCGATTAATGAAAGAATCTACTATAGTATCGCGAAGGAGAATGAGCTTTACACGCAATAAATAGTGAGCTATACCTCTTCAATGGCTCATTTCAACACAAGTATCAAAAAGCCTTTCAAAATATGGGACGATTATCAATCAATCGATGCAAAAACAAAAGACATAATTACTCTCTACCAAAGGTCCATCATGTATAAATTAAAAACTGTCCTAAGGAAGTTTAATGGCCTCTCGAACCTTAATCTTCACCCCTGTTGTCTTCATTGTCTTGCTCGCCTTCATCCTCGGAGTCATCGTCACCATGCTCCTAAATGTTGTAGATAATGTTTTAGAAAATCAAACTAATCCGTAACATGTTTTCTTGGTAACAAAAAGCAATGACGAAAATTTTCCTACTTATCATATACGCAGGTGTGCTAAGTTGTGCTTTCGCACTTGTTTTCATAATATGCAAATATACAAAAAAATATTTTTTTCGTCTTAAACACATTACACCAAGAACCTAATTTTGATTCGAAATTTTTTAAGGGTTATAACAAAATGTCGACATTTAAGCAAAAGCTGCAATCATGTCGACATTTTCTAACAAAATGTAAGGAGATTATGCACTTACTTCAGCATCGTCATCATCTTCGTCATCATCAATTCCAGGAAACTCTTCCTCGTCGCCGTCCTACAAGAAGAAAATTTACAACAATGATAAATAAATATCACATTTGAGCAGAGTAGAATAAAAATAAAATAAAACCAAGGCGCCGGATAAATTACATTGTTAAAGTACGTAATAGGATTTGGCCACAAATCATCCTTAATGACATCAGCCACCTGCCACATAATTTCAGGTAAAAGTTATTTTAGTTAGCTCAGAAAACCATCATTTCGATGTATATATATACTTAAAGCTCTTCAATTCCATCACAAAAGTTACCTCATCCACAATTCCAAAAATATCACCTTTATACTCCGCATTGCTGAACCAGGCAAAGAAGCTGCATTTGTAGAAGTGAAATAAGATCGTTGAGATATATATTTTATACATCTTTTGGTTTTAATTATTTAGATTTGATGTTTATTATTTCGGCATATCTACTTAATTATCCATTTTGTACCATCCCTAATTTCATTATTAATGAATAAGTTCGACTTTCTACCAAAATATATCATGGTAGCAGAAGTAGTTCTCGTCGGGTATATCCTTATAACCCTCGATTCTACCCGGAGATACTTGGGCTTTTTTTTTCTATTATTTCTTCCCACACATGTTCCCAAAAAAATTAATACACTACACACATTTATTATTTTTATATTCTCTACACAATTCCCTACATAAAAATTTTTTTTTTCCAACAATCTCACAAAACAAACACATCCTCAAATCTACGGCACTATGGTGTAGTTGCACCTCGCATTCAAACTTGAAATTTAGCGCTAATACCTCCAAAAAGCCATGTTTAACTAAGTTTTAGATAGTAGCAATTTTTTTTTAGTTCGAGTGAATTCATATCCCAAACGAACCCAAAAACGAATGAATATAAGCATTGCAAAGAAGCAGCCCGTCATTGCCAAAGAAAGAGGAGTAAAGAGACTACCTTTCGTCGACAAGAGGGCGTTTGTTCCCTTTCGCATCTTCAGGAACACCATTAGAAATGCCCTTCATATGTCCAAATTTATACAATGAATTCAAAACACGGTATACAAAATGTTTAGCTCTTCAAAAGCACCAATGCAAGAGAGCTTACCGCCCCTTCTTTCCATTTTATAGATGTTGCGGTGACTTTCGTCATCCCATCCTCTTGGAAGGCAAAAGTCTTTGTGAGCTTACTATCCTCAAAGTACGGATTTGGGTTGAATTCCTGAACAGATTTACGAATCAAACTCAAATCAAGTCATTTTCACAATAAATTACCATGTGATTGTAAGTGATAGAGCACTCACAAATGAGATGGAGTAACCAGATTTCACATCTTTGAAATCTTCAACTTCAAGGTTGCTTAGGTGCTTGAAAATCTAGAACAAGTAAAGGGAAGCCAGCCACGGGTTTATGCAAACACACACATACCAAGTACAAATTATGCTTTTAGAATTAGAAATCAGAGCAACAATAATTCTTAATGACGAATTACATACCTTTTGGTCTTCTTCATTCAACATATCACAAAGGGCAGGATGACTCATAAACTGTGGACACAATCCATTGCAACAAGAGTTAAGTGTGTGTTCCAAAGCTTGGGGAAAGAAAGATGGGAAATGACAAAATACTATTCGACGCGATATAATTAGGTGTTTGATGTGATGCCTTGAATGAAAAATAAATTCTGAGTATAATGTAATGGTTTGGAACGGAAATAAATTCCTGTAGATTTATAGTATAAAATAGGGTTGTGAAAACATAACCAAACAAATCTTGAGCTAAGACAAGCACTAACCGCAGTCAACCAAAAATCGGGAATGGATTTGATGACATCATTCCGCCTATCATAGATAGGTTTGCGTATCTCATTATACTTTTGTTCCACTTCCAAGACTTTTTCACTCGCTTCTTCGTTGATCTGAAAGCACACAAGGAAGACAATATTGCTCATAGTGTCAGCATCGGCTCCAAGAAAAATAAAATAAATAAAAAAATAATGATAATAATAATAATAAGAGAATACCTGAACATAACATATTAACACATGCAGCTTTCAGATTTGTGTAATGCCTCTTAATCAAAAAGAAAACTAATCAATTTACCGCCGGGAATTCACACAAAGTACAAACGACTTCATCCTTTTTTTTTTTTTTTACGGCAACTGTAACATAGCTAAGCTAATGGTTTGACAAATGCTTCACAAAATGATAATTTTTAATTGGTCGAATTTCACTCCTTTGGGTTAAATCAACAAAGAATTTGGGTAAACCTATATATTGACATTATCAGAAATGGAAAAAATTAAACATAGAAACACTCCTTCCGTTTTTATTTTTACATTCTACAGCACATTCCATTTTTAAGTCAAACTTTTCATTATCAAAACAACCAAAAAACACCGAAACAAAACCAAAACAAAAGTGTCACACTTTATTGAAACCATAAACAAATTTGACTGCGAAAATCTCAAACTGAGGAAGCCTCCGGGTACATTTAGAATTTCAGAGTTGCACATTATTAATAATGAAATTGGAGCCTACATACAAAACATACCAAATAAACTTAAATAACTACATAATCTAATAAATATAACCAAATAATAACGATTTAATCTAAAGAATCATAACAAATGGTGTGTTTACCCAACAAAAAAATTGGACACACTTAACGATTAATATTACTAAGAAAAATACAATGTATACACTCCATCACACAATCCATATCCTATCTATTAACAAAAAAAAACTACAATTCAGCTCAAAATATTAATATATTTTTTATTACCTATATTAAATATAAAAAAATATCTCAAACAAGGAAACACAAATCTGTAACAGAGGATATATCATGGATCAAAGTTTAAGTCTTTTACAATATCAAACAATTATTTCAATTCAAAATTTTAGTATTCAAAAAAACAAATCCAAAATTCAAACCCCAAACAAACACACCTAAAGATTTCTAGACTTTCGGGAAAGGGGATTCAATCAGTAAATAAATCTCATCCAATTTAGAGAACAATTGAAATCAGAAGTTACTTTTTCAAGCTCATCTTGAACTTGCTGAAGCTTTTCGATGGAGACGACGAGCTCTCTGTCAATTACTTCGGCGCCATTGTTTGCGCCTTCCAATTCCCCTGTCTTCTGCTTCTTTCCTTTGTCTGCTCCCATTTGCAATCCGAAAAGCGACGTTGTCAGAGGATTTCGGCAGGATTTTTGAATTTGGGGAAGAATTTCGTTAAACCCTAGATAAACCCTTCTCCCTCTCTCCCTCGGCGGGTGTTCTGTGGTCTTACTCTGACAACTGATTTTATTTGTAAGAAATGGAAGTGCGCCCGGGCTGCTGCGCTAGGGTTTCGACCAAAACCTAATACGATAATAATAATAATAATAATAATAATAATAATAATAATAATAATTTAATATCTTATCCATGTGTAAATTTTTATTATTATCTTAATATAGAATATTTTTAATTTTCTACATTTATTTTTATTTATATAAATATATTTTTTTAAAAAAAATTTAATTTATAGATTATTAAAATTCAAAAAAAAAAGGGATAAAATTAAAGGATAAAATAATTTAAATTAAACCATTTCAAAATATAAAAAAGTAATACTTGCAATTTATTGAAAAGACTGTGTCAAAAATAATAGGAAGGTGTTTATTTATTATTCATAGTTAATTTTTTTTTTTTTTCTGTAAAATATGAAAAATTATTATAAAAATAATATTTTAAGTATTTTTTGTTTACTTAATTATGCTTATGTGAAACTACATAAATTTTATGTAGGTTTGCCTAAATTAATTCAAATCCTATACTAACTTCAAATGTCTTTAAATCTTATTTGCCGCACATTATTCATTTAATATAACTTATAAAACACCTTTAAAAACTAGTAAAATTTTTCAATCCTCACCCACTCGTGAAAACATTTGGGCAATGAGCAAATTTTGTATTAGTCTTTGTAAATGTATAAAGGTATTTTTATAATACTATCTTCGTCCGACTCTAATGGTCGTATTTATTTTTTGCGTTTTAATATTTGAATATTAATTACTTTCTCCGTCCCGAATATTTTGTCCACGTTACTGTAGACATGGGAATTTAGGAGGGGTATAGTTAGTAAATAATTAAAAATATATTAGTGAAAATAATTATCGTATAATTAAAATAATTATAAATTAAGATTAAGATAATTGATTAGTATAATTAAAATTAAAAAAAATTATAAATTAAATTTTTAAAAATAAGATTAAAATGTATAATTATTTTCCAAAAAAAAAAATGACAAAATAAATGGAATGGACGGAAATTGATTAAATTTTTAAAAATAAGATTAAAGTATATTAGTAAGTTTTTAATTTTCGTTTGCATACGTATTTAATATGCCGGTTTTATGAAATGTATTGAAATCCTCTTAGCTTTAGGGCATAAATAAGTGAAATAGTTTCGAGTACATTATATTTTTAAGATTAATTGTCCAATATCTCTAATAGAAGCTTATATATATAGAACATATATAAGTCTTCATATGCCTAAGCATATTACTGATTCTATGGATACTTTTTAGCAATATATTTATTTCTATGGATACTTTTAGTAATATATCTATGATCATATTTTTTGTATTTAGCCATCATGTGTACTTGATCGTTAGGTTTATCAATAATTAAAAAAAAAAAAACTTAATTATTGTTGATTCCTCCAACCTCTTCTTCACTATATTCAAATTGTACAATAGGATACTAGATGGTTAGGATCATTTTTGTTCTTTTTATTATACACCGAAAAATTTAACAAAAATCAAATTATCAATAAAATAAAAATTTAGACATATTATTACTATAAAAAAATAGTATATTAGTAACGGAATTCCATCTCTCTGAACGATAAGGCTTACTGGATTTCTCGCGTTGATGCGGGTTCGTCGGCGCCCGTGCGCGAATCCTCGTTCGCAATATACGGCTGGACGACGGGTCCGTGAACCGCGTACAAGGTCGTCGTTCGCGATTTTTGGCCGTGACATGCATCGCAGGAAATCCATTTTCGCTGCCTACATATTCGTAAAAAATCCGCGCAGGAGTTTTTTTGGGAAGCCCACTCTGTCTCGATGGACGGCCTTTCCGGCATTCGTACGTCGGGTCACGAATTCGCTGTTGTCTGCCGGGGCAGACATCGACAATGATCCTTTCGCAGGTTCAACTACAGAATCCTAGTTACGAGTTCTCTTTTTTCTGAACGATAAAGCTTACAGGACTTCTCGCATTGACGCGAGTTCGTCGGCGCCCGTGCGCGAATCCTCGTTCGCTATATACGGCTGGACGACGGGTCCGTGAACGGCGTACAAGGTCGTCGTTCGCAATTTTTGGCCGTGACATGCATCGCTAGAAATCCATTTTCGCTGCTTACATATTCGCAAAAATCCACACAGGAGTTTTTTGGGGCGCCCACTCTGTCTCGATGGACAACCTGTCTGGCATTCGTACGTTGGGTCACGAATTCGTTGTTGTCTGCCGGGGCATACATCGACAATGATCCTTTCGCAGGTTCAACTACAGAATCCTTGTTATGAGTTCTCTTTTCTCTGAACGATAAGGCTTACAGGACTTCTCGTGTTGACGCGGGTTCGTCGGCGCCCGTGCGCGAATCCTCGTTCGCTATATACGGCTGGACGACGGGTCCGTGAACGGCGTACAAGGTCGTCGTTCGCAATTTTTGGCCGTGACGTGCATCGCTAGAAATCCATTTTCGCTGCTTACATATTCGCAAAAATCCGCACAGGAGTTTTTTGGGGCGCCCACTCGATCTCGATGGACGCCTGTCCGGCATTCGTACGTCGGGTCACGAATTCGTTGTTGTCTGCCGGGGAAGACATCGACAATGATCCTTTTGCAAGTTCAACTACAGAATCCTTGTTACGGGTTCTCTTTTCTCTGAACGATAACGCTTACAGGACTTCTCGCGTTGACGAGGGTTCATCAGCGCCCGTGCGCGAATCCTCGTTCGCTATATACGGCTGGACGACGGGTCCGTGAACGGCGTACAAGGTCGTCATTCGCAATTTTTGGCCGAGACATGCATCGCTGGAAATCCATTTTGTTGCCTACATATTCGCAAAAATCCGCGCAGGAGTTTTTTGGGGCGCCCACTCGGTCTCGATGGACGGCCTGTCCGGCATTCGTACGTCGGGTCACGAATTCGCTGTTGTGTGCCGAGGTAGACATCGACAATGATCCTTTTGCAGGTTCAACTACAGAATCCTTTTACGAGTTCTCTTTTCTCTGAACGATAACGCTTACAAGACTTCTCGCGTTGACGCGGGTTCGTCGACGCCCGTGCGCGAATCCTCGTTCGCTATATACGGCTGGACGACGGGTCCGTGAACGGCGTACAAGGTCGTTGTTCGCAATTTTTGGCCGTGACGTGCATCGCTGGAAATCCATTTTCGCTGCCTACATATTCGCAAAATTCGCGCAGGAGTTTTTTGGGGCGCCCACTCGATCTCGATGGACGCCTGTCCGGCATTCGTACGTCGGGTCACGAATTTGTTGTTGTCTGCCGGGGCAGACATCGACAAGGATCCTTTTGCAAGTTCAACTACAAAATCCTTGTTACCAGTTCTCTTTTCTCTGAACGATAACGCTTAGAGGACTTCTCGCGTTGACGCGGGTTCGTTGGCGCCCGTGCGCGAATCCTCGTTCACAATATACTACTGGACGATGGGTCTGTGAACGGCGTACAAGGTCGTCGTTCACAATTTTTGGCCGTGACGTGCATCGCAGGAAATCAATTTTTGCTGCTTACATATTCGCAAAAATCCGCGCAGGAGTTTTTTTTGGGCGCCCACTCTGCCTCGGTGGACGGACTGACCGGCATTCGTACATTGGGTCACGAATTCATTGTTGTCTGCCGGTGCGGACATCGAAAATGATTCTTTCGCAGGTTCAACTATAGAATCCTTGTTGTGAGTTCTACTTTCTCTAAACAATAAGGCTTATTGGACATCTCGCGTTGACGCGGGTTCGTCGGTGCCCCTGCGCGAATCCTCGTTCGCAATATACTGCTGGACGACGGGTTCATGAACAGCGTACAAGGTCGTCGTTCGTGATTTTTGGCCGTGACGTGCATCGCAGGAAATCAATTTTTGCTGCCTACATATTCACAAAAATCCGCGCAGGAGTTTTTTGGGGCGCCCACTCTGCCTCGGTGGATGGCCTGACCGGCATTCGTACGTCGGGTCACGAATTTGCTGATGTCTGCCGGGGCAGACATCGACAATGTTCCTTTCGCAGGTTCAACTATAGAATCCTTGTTACGAGTCCTCTTTTCTCGGAACGATAAGGCTTACTGGAATTCTCGCGCTGACGCTGGTTCGTCGGCGTCCCTGCGCGAATCCTTGTTCGCAATATACGGATGGACGACGGGTCCGTGAACAGCGTACAAGGTCGTCGTTAACGATTTTTGGCCGTTACGTGCATCGCAGGAAATCCATTTTTGCTGCCTACATATTCGCGAAAATCCGCACAAGAGTTTTTTGGGGCGCCCACTCTGCCTCGATGGACGGCCTGTCCGGCATTCGTACGTCGGGTCACAAATTCGCTGTTGTCTACCGGAGCAAACATCGACAATGATCCTTTCGCAGGTTCAACTACAAAATACTTGTTACGAGTTCTCTTTTCTCGGAACGATAAGGCTTACTGGAATTCTCGCGTTGATGCGGGTTCGTCGTCGCCCCTGCGCGGATCCCGTTCGCAATATACGGATGGACGACGGGTCCGTGAACGGCGTACAAGGTCGTCGTTAACGATTTTTGGCCGTGACGTGCATCGCAGGAAATCCATTTTTGCTGCCTACATATTCGCGAAAATCCGCACAGGAGTTTTTTGGGGCACCCTCTCTGCCTCGATGGATGGCCTGACCGGCATTCGTACGTCGGGTCACGAATTCGCTGTTGTCTGCCAGGGCAGACATCGACAATGATCCTTTCGCAAGTTCAACCATAGAATCCTTTTTACGAGTTCTCCTTTCTCTAAACGATAAGGCTTACTGGACTTCTCGCGTTGACGCGGGTTCGTCAGCGCCTCTGCGCGAATCCTCGTTCGCAATAAACGGCTGGACAACGGGTCCTTGAACAGCATACAAGTTCGTCATTCGCGATTTTTGGCCGTGACGTGCATCGTAGGAAATCAATTTTTGCTGCTTACATATTCACGAAAATACGCGCAGGAGTTTTTTTGGGCATGCACTCTGCCTCGGTGGACGGCCTGACCGGCATTCGTACGTCGGGTCAGGAATTCGCTGCTGTCTGCCGGGGCAGACATCGACAATGATCC